GAACATCTGAGGGCTGGCAGGCTGTCTCTGAGACAGGGATTAGGTTTTTTTGGAAGCTCTCTAAGCTTTCACTTCATCACAGAGCTGCATTGAACCTCTGCCACTCTTCAGCCTGGGTTTGGGTTTATGGAACCAGTGAGTTTGTTATAATAAAACTCAGCAATATCTCAGTTACTTCCAATAATTTTGTAGATTTTTTTTGATACAATGGTAGATCCCAGGCCTGTGTTTATCCAATTTAAATGCAGGAGTTTAGAAAAGCACATCAAGCTGCTTTTATTCTTGGGGATGCCATCTATCAGACTTTTGGGTAATGCACTAAACCAACAGTCCAGTTAATTATCAGTGCATTGCAGTGAGAGCCCTGAAGAATCCCAGTATTTATGGAACTGCTGCCAATGCCAGATGAAGTCACTCTGATTATCCAGGCCAGCTGTTTTTTTGTTGGGGTTTTTTGTGTTGTTTTGTTTTTTTTTGTTGAACCACAACGATTTCTCCAAGTTACTGAAGTTGATGTCATTGGAATTGATGTGACATTTTTTGCACGCATATAGAATAAGTGTTAAAAAATGCTCCAGAAAGAGCTTTTCCAGTCTTGTCTGGGAGCTGGCTGGGGAGTTGAATTAAACTGGCTTGATGGAACTTAATCCATAAAGCAAATGAGTCATCAGGCATAAATGGCTTTACCATAAATGTCAGACAGATTCTTACTGGTCCTGACAGTCAGCACTTACATCTGTTTGGTGGAGCAAATAAAAGCCTCACAGTTCACAATCATTTTCATAAATGTGCTGTCCTGCCTCTTACTCTTCACAAGAAGCTCTAGGAATAAAGGTCGAAATGTGATTTATTCCAATTTTTTAAAAGCTAGCTCTTCTGATGGATGAAATAGTGGTTATTTTCAGGCAAAGAAAAAAAAATCCGATCTTTTTATTCCCCACTTGAAATTTTTTGTCGAACCAGCAAAGCACAGCTGTGGTTTGTACACGGGTACAGGGACTGATGGGGATGATGAGGCTTTGTCTGACCCCATTGCTGCAGCTTGGCTTCTTTTCTGGAGCAGCTGAGTTTTAAAAAGGGCCTCTGGGATGATGCTCAGAGGTGCTCTGAGCACTTATCCTACCTCTGACTTTTGGGGTCTCACTGTGCTGACAGAGGAGGGGGCTCAGGCCACAACTGTGCATTGCCTCTGCACACTACAAACTACCCCAGTTACTGGAGGACTTTCTTGAGCCCTGAGTGCCCAGACGTGCCCAAAAGAGGACTTGTGCCAACTCATTCATGTGCCAAGAGAGAACTTTACCCACTGTCTTGTGCGGGTGGCTGAGGGTGAAGGACACTGTGCTGGCGACTTCTCCTTCAAAGCAACACCAGAGTATTAGTGACCAGAGAGTCAGATCCCTCTTTGCTTGAAAATAAGGCTTAAAATGATTTGGTTGGTAAAGTCTTTAATTTACTTTATTGGTGCAGTTGTAAGTTCTCTCTCTTACAAAGGCTCCCTGGAAAACCCTCTGGCGCTGTGTGTGTGCGTGTGAATTAACGGTATCTTCGTTATCTCCGCCGCAAAAAGCAGATGCTGACGTGGGAAGGAGACAGCCTTTGGGTGGTTTGTGTAACCATAACAGGGGAACAAATAGACACTTGAGGGAGGAAGGGGAGCAGGGGGCTGGCTGCCCCTTTGTCAGCCTGGGCCGGGGCAGAGAGCTCCTGGTGCAATTTATTAGCGGCAACACACTCGAGAGGACACAAAGGGCTCGCGACCCTCCCAGCACGGCTCGCTCCAGTGCAGGGCGGCTTTTTAAATCAAAGAAATGGGGCTCTTGACAGCACAGCTTTGTGCATCTTTTGTGAAGTTCAGATAGTGGGGCTTTTTATTGCAGGCTAAATTAGCCCATTTTATTGTTTTGCACCGAGGGATGAGGTCAATTGACTGGGAATCTCACTAACAAGGTTTTTACTCCTGTCTGCTTTTTACAAGTGTTAACACGGGGTATCCACCAGTGCTGTGCACTTGCTGTTAATGAAACAAAGATGAATGGTCTGGTGACCCCCTGAGCTCTCCTCCTTCCCCCACCACTGAGCTGCTCAGCCCATGTCACTGTGCTGGCGCTCGGGTGCTCCCTGGGGCTCTCATTCCCCCAAAATCGGGCGCCTCGTTTTTTCCTTGATTTTCACGCTGCCACTGGAACAACGAGAAAAGGATGAACTTTGGGCAGGGTGATTGATTGGGTTTGAAAAGGAAATGGGAAAGTAGTGGCCGTGTGGAATGATGCTCGTGAAGCGTGGTGAGCTCTGAAGGAGCTGTCTGAGGCAGCTCACGCTTTTTCCTGGCACTCTCTGCATTCCAAATTTATTCAGTTACGCACTGATTCTCTCAGGTTCTTGACCCAAAACGAGCAGGAAGCTTCCCCTGTTCATCCTCCCCTGCTCACTCATCAGCAACTGCTGGATCAACACTGTCCCTTGGTGTGTTGAGTGAGTTTGGGGTTTCTGCCATGGCCCTGAGACTGGAGCCTGTGGCTCCTGGGACTTGCAGGTGTTTTTTTGCCATGTACTCAAAGGCATTGCCTTTGGGGGGCCATCAGAGCCAGAGGATGCTCAGCTCCTGCAGGGAATCAAGCCAGGATTTCTTCTCAGGAACTGCCATCAGCTGAGACTAAAAGTAAACTCAGCTTTAACAGATTCTCTTCTGCTTAACCTTTTGCACTGTCTTTAGCCAACATGCCTTTCCTTGCTTTATCTGCTCCTTGAGGAAACACAGTTACAGTCCTGGTCACTTATATGATGCAGACTATCAGCTCTCCTTGAGGTGTAAATCCAACCTTATCAGGAAGAAAAAGCTTTTTCAGCCTTCCTTGCCTCTTGCAGACAAGTCCCAGGTCTGCTTTGTGGCTGCTTTATTTCAGCTTATCCCAACAGTGCCAGACACCTCCCATCATCCTGTGGAAAATGAGGAGCTTTAACCACCTGAGTGAGGGAAGGGCAGAAATGGCTTAACTCGGGTGTCAGTGAGGGCTGACTGAGGTTCCACGTGCAGAAATAGCAGCTGGAAGGGTCTTCACATCATCCACTTGAAACAAAAATCCTTGGCCAGGTTGGGCATCCCCTGCTGGAGGGAACTCCAAAGGAACAGCCTGTTTTGCTGCTCTGAACTGCCTTGGAAGACCAGGGATGGTGATATTTGGTGTGAGGAGCCCCATGACACCCCCAGCTCCTGCCAGTCTCTGCTCAGGGCTGGGTGATGTCCTGTAGGTCACACCATGGCTGAGTTCCCCATGTGGGTCCCATTGGGAGGTGGTGACCAGAGCTGATTGGAAATGGGAAGTGTTTGACAAGGCAAAAACCTGGCATTTTCTGTTTTCCTAATACTCCATTTCTATTTTTTGGTGGTTACATTGAAAAAGAAAAAGCCAGAACATTAATGACAGAACTCTGCTCTATGAATTGAAAAAAAAAAAAAAGAAAAAGGGGGGAAGGGAAGATTTGTTTCTCTTTCTTAAAATGGAAAATTGAAAACCACTTTGCAGACGTTTCTGCTAATTTTCTGAAGGTTATTCACTGGAAACAATGACTAATGAGCTCAAACCAATTCTCAATTTTAGGGTTACTTGTGTAGCATCTGAAAGGTGCCCAGATGTTACAGTGAATTTCTGCAGAGAGGGATGTGATAACCTGGAATTTGGGGAAGGAAGCTCCATACAACTCTAAGCTGCTCCTTTCCCTCAGAGTCAGGCAGGTTGTGGCCAGGTCCACATGGTTCTTGCAACCTTCTTTCCTGGTGAATCTCTACCAAAAATGTGAACAGCACCTTTTTTTAGTGAAGTCAGTGGTCAATGTTCACGGGAGGCTGAGCTCCCCAGGACCCAGAGACACCCATGGCTGGACCATGCAGACCAAGGCAGACTTGGTCCATCATTTCAAAAGTAGCCTTTGGTTTTCCATGGGGATGTTTGCCAATCTGGCCAGGCTCCCTTTGGAGCTTCTGGTTCCTATTACATCCCCAAATCATCCTCCCAGTTTTGCTCTAATGCTCCTGCTTTTTCCCCTGATGTTTTAGCCATGCTTTTCTATTTTTAAACAAGAAATTTCCCCCCCCTAATTAAATACCAGCTCTAACCATCCAAGTAGCAAAGTCTTATGTAACTGTCTAAGTAAACTGGGGTGAATCAACAGAGTTTTGGTGTTATGGTTAAGCAGTGTGGTGGTTCTTCAGGAAACTACAGAGCAATTTCTGCTCTGACCTTGGGGGTGTGGCTGGAGCTTCATTTTCTCTGCAGCGAGTGCCCCATTAACCAGCCTTGGTGCCTAATGAGCTCCCTCTGCACCTGGTTTTTAGCAAGTCACTGCAACCCCCCTCCCTCTTGGTTCTTCTCTTGGATTAGCAGGTGCATTTCTAATCTCTTTCTGTGTCTGTTGCGGGTGGAAAATTGAGGTGAGGCAAGGTGTAGGAAGGAGGAGTGATGCCTTTTGTGAGGCCAACTGATGGTGCAGGAGAAGCAGAGAAGTTTTGAGGCCAATAAACAGCTTTTTGGACAGGACAGGGCAACTCTGGAGCCCTGTAGATCTGCACAGGACCAGATAGAAGGGATTTTTTTTTTTATTGCCCCCAGCTGATTTGGGGTGTGTAGAGCCCTTTTCTCTTATTTTTCCCCGCACCCACCTTACCTGGGGTTGGTGGTGCTGTTGTGCTATAGGTATGAGGGTGACCCCTCTGCAGATGTGCTTATCTTTCTGGGAGGTGCTTTTGGGACCAGGGATGAAGCACAGCAGCTTCACACCTCGTGGAGCAGCCAGAGATAAGTGGCTTCTTAACCCAGCCCTGGACACGGAGGGTTTTCACCTGGCTCATCTCAGGGGACGTGCCCATGTCAGGGAGGTGACTCTGCCAAGTGTTTTGCTTTTGATTTCTTGGTGTTGTTCGTGCCTTTGACTGTAGCATCGTGCTGGTGGCTCCATGTGCACCATCCATTCCCTGACCCTCTGTCCTCCCTTCCCTGCAGGGTGACATCCAGCAGCTCCTGATCGTGGCGGACCCCCGAGCAGCCCTGGATTACTGTGAACACTACAGCCCCGACTGTGACACCGCCATCCCCGACTCCCCCCAGTCCCAGGACCCCAACCAGGATGAATATGTAAGTGTCTCACAACTCTGGGGATGTTTTTTGGGGCAGCAGCATCTGGTTCCATGTCATGCTCACAAAGACATTCATCTTCCTCCTCAAGCTCAGCTTCCCCGCGACTCTTCTCTTAACATCCAAGACAGAGCTTGCTTTTAGGATTTGTAGGTTCTGGTCTTGGGTCTTGCCTTTGGAAGTTTTCCTTCCTTCTGCACTCCTCTGATTTCCAGAGGCTGTAATGAACGTTCACTTGGAGCTCAAAAACTTGCAGGAGAGACAACGTGAGCCGAGTGTGAAACATTGACCTTCCCTGGCAGGTCGAGTCCTGTCCAGAACAGGCACCTGTTTCTAAATTTCAAATTTTACTGTTGAACTTGTAAAAGGATTAAACAGTTCTTTTTCAACATTCTTTGAAACAACAGGTGTTAAAGGAGAGGGTAATATTTTTGCCCACGGATTTGTCACTTGAATTTCGTTTTGGCAGAAATGCTCCTGATTCATCCCCGTAAGCTGCTGTGCTCAATAGTTTTTCTACGAAGAATTAGCCTCAGGTCTTTTCTTAAAAAAAAGAAAACAAAGAAAAAAAGGCTGATGCGGGATACACTTTAATTTTTGCTGCCCAATTAAAAATGTCTGGGTGTGGCTGACTTCCAGAAGAGCATCACCTGAATTTTGACCTTGTTTGGGAGGTCTCAGGCTCAGCTCCCAGCAGTTGGTGGTGCCTGGCATCCTCAGCCACTTCTCAACAACTCTCTTGGTCTGATTTGCTTTCTGTTGGATGTCAGACCTGCGGGTTCCTGCCGAATTCCCACAAAGCTGTAATGCCCTCAGCTCTCTCAGTTTATCTTTGGGATTGAATTAATCCTGCACCTAAGCAGGGCTTTGGGGAGCAGCGCAATGCCCGTGGTGAGGCACAGCCAACCAGCGCTTCTGGAGAAACAATAAATAAGAGAAATAAACCAGACTCTGGTACGGTCGAAATACGTGGTAGTAGGAAAATAAAACTCTTCTTTTGGAGCCAGCAGTTCAACAAAAGCTGGCTTGTCTTGGGGCCGTGTTGCTCCACGTAAGAATAACTCTTCCACGCACCGCCGCCGGCTGCCAGTGAGAGCGTTGGGCTGGCGAGGAGATTCTCCATGCCCGGCTGTAACCAGCTGGTTTGTTTGGATTTCATTTTGAAGAATGACTGACGCCTTGTGGAACAGGCTGAAAATATCTGGTTTCCAGAGCCCTTCTGCCTGCAGGCTGTGGGTGGATGGGAAGTGACACGGATGCTGCCGGTGCAGTCGGATGAGTGGAAACAGCGTCGCGGCTCCAGTGCTTCCTTCCCCTCCCTCGGGATGTCAGATGGGTGACCTGGGAGGTCTCAGTAATCTGAGGTTAAAAAAAAAAAGAAATCATAGAATGGCTGGTTTGGGTTGGAAGGACCTTAAAGTCCTACCTAGTTCCAACCTCTTGCCATGGGCAGGGGCACCTTCCACTGGACCAGGTTGCTCCAAGCCTCATAAAACAGGGTCTTGAACACTGTCAGGGCTGCAGCAGGCACAGCTTCTCTGGGCAACCTGTGCCAGGGCCTCCCCACCCTCCCAGGGAAGAATTTCTCCCTAATATCTCACCTAACCCTGCCCTCTGTCAGTTTGAAGCCGTGATGCCTAAAGGAGCTGGCAGGAACATGCTGGGGTGCTCATTTTCTGCTTCTCATCTTCTCCCTGCAGTACACAGACGGGGAGGGAGAAGGTGACACCTACTACTATGAATACCCCTACTATGAAGATGTTGATGACTCTGTAAAACCAGAAGCCCCCACCACCAAACCTGGCCCTCCTGAGGTGGCTGCTGGAGAGAGACCCGAAACCAAGGAGGTACCGAGGAGGGGTCCTGGCAATGATGAGGTTGATAAACAGCATCTTTATAGAAGGGGAGGTGGAGGATGATGCAGAATCTTCTTGTATTATTTTTGTTTCTCTGATTCTGGTGTTTTATTTCTGCCACAGGATTATCCTGCTCCCACGGTGCCACCGGAGAGAGGGAACCCGGGGAAGCCACCGAAGGAGGACGGGACAGTGGATGATCCCCTTGTTGATGAGTACAACTATGAAACCATCAACGAGGAGTACTTCACACCCATGCCCTATGAAGACATCAACTACAACGAGGAAATAGATCCCCAGGGTGGCCTCACTGAAAACGCCGTGGAAGCCGAGCTCCCCACCAGCACCGTCATCACCTACAACGAGACCGATGTAATTTTAATGCATTTTGTTTGTTATTTCTGGTGTTTCTTGCATTTTGTTTGTTATTTCTGGTGTTTCTTGCATTTTGTTTGCTATTTCTGGTGTTTCTTAGCCCCTGAAAGCAAAGGAGACGCGAGCACCCAGATGGTAAAACCCCTAAGTGCCTTAGGCAGCTGCTGGAAGAGGAAGTTTCCTTGTAAAATATTTTCACTCCAGATATTTCAGGGTGGGGAACGCAGATACTTAGAGTTAAGGATTATTCCCCTGGAAAAATCTGTTCATGTTGACATCTGCATTTCCTTGTGTGAAGTGGTTTTCTGACAAAAAGAGAAATGAGGGTTGATGTTAAAATCTAACTAAAAGCAGTTTACTTCAAAGTTATTAATATAAATCCTTAAAATGTTGATTCGATGGAGAACATCAATATTTTTCATTTTGGCAGCCCTACTGAATAGCATCTTTGTTTTTCAGTTTGTTGCTTAAAAAAACCCAACATTTCAACACTGGGAAAAAAATTCAGTGATTTCAAACAACACCATTCACCCAGAACGAGCCCCTCTGTTCTGTGCACAGATCAGCTCAGAGATGAGATCAGTCCAGATCCCACAGCTGACGTTTCTGTTGGAGCATTTACACTTTTCTCTACCCATATTTTAATATGCTTCAACTGAAATATGTTGCACTTGAGACTCTCTTATCCCTGAGACTTGCCCAGTTCTCGCCTTTTATATGGATGCTTAAATAGATGAACGTTGGTCTGAGCCTTAGATGAGATGGAGATAAATTGTTGGGGAGCTGCAGAGCTGTAGAATTCACTGTGCAAGGAAATAATGGCACTAGATGAGGCAAATTCTTCATTAACCAGGAGTATCAGCAAGGAGAATTCATAGTGGGATAACGTGGAAGCGTTCAAGGCAAGGCTGGTTGGGGCTCTGAGCAACCTGCTCTGGTGGAAGGTGCCCCTGCCCCTGGAGTTGGAACTGGATGATCCTTAAGGTCCCTTCCAACCCACACCATTCCACGGTTCTATAAAATTGCCAAATCCCATCCCACCCCCCAGGAAGAGTTTGGTGGTGGTTTCTCAAGCGGAGAAGAATCACTTGGTTTGCGGGGATGTCAAAATTCCAGGTTTTCCGGGTGGCGCTGGAAGGTGGCAAAACAGACAGAGAGAGTTGGCCGAGACACTTGGAGTTGGAGCTGGAAGTTTGAATGAAAAGGTGTCGGGGAAAGTGTCCAAGCAAAGAGAGGAGCAGCTGGAGCGAGGCGGGCGTGGATCCAACCGCCCCGAGGGCTGGGGCGTGGGGAGATCTGCTCCAGCCAACTGGGGATGAAAAATGTGCTGGAGAAGGAGGTTGAGCAGCTAAAAAAGATACACAGAGGGAAACAGAAGAGGCTCCAGCGTATCGAGGGAGCGAGCGCCAACCTGAGGGAGCCCAGGGATGGGAAAGTTTTCTGTTTCCTGACGAAGAGCCAGAAATCTTTGGCCAAGATTGAACTTTCTAATAGAGGGGAATTAAAGATTGGAGAGCGTGACCTTCAAAAAAAAAAAAAAAAGGAGAGGAAGTAAGAGGCTCAAGGGCCACTTTACTGGTTAGGAAAAGGAAATAGAAGAGGAGGAGAGTTCAGGTAGGGAAACACATGGTGTGGCTTTCCGATGGGAAAGCTCAGCCAGGTCTTGGCAAAGCATCTGGCAGCTCCGAAGGAGCCGGTGTTTGGATGGGAAGGGCTGTAGGAATGCTCCTGGGTGGGATATTGCTCCAGTGGATCTTTCAGCTGATGGCCGGAGGAAAGGACACAACTCGCCTGGCTGAAGGAGATTCCCGTGCGCTGAGGCGAAGGTTAACATGGCATGACAGAGGGAAGACTCCCAAAAAGTGCCAGCCTGAGGGACAGATAGCCAAGAGGATATGGATTCCAGGTTTACACCTTGGAGTAGGAGCTAAGGGTCCTGTCTGCAGCCACAAACTCCTGGGGAAACCAAATCCTTTAGTCCAGCAGAATGGAAGTGGGGATTAGGATTGTACATATAATTCCCTTCCCAATACCTGTTATTAGGAACAGGGTTCCAGCAGGAATACAGCCTGCTAGAGTGGATGGAGAAGTTTATGTGCTCTTCAAAATAATTACATAAAAAACTCCTAAGTTTTTTGACTAGTTTAGGGAACAAAATAGTGCTCATGGTCATGAGTAAGTGTGGCACAATTTCAAGTTGTCCCAGGTTTCTTCCAGCAGTTGGAGACCCTGGACTGCTGCACAGGGATGCAGAGGTGGGCTGGGATTCTGGGCATTCCTCGTGGTGATAGTCCTGCACTGCTCAATTTTGGGATCAAACAGGATGATATTGGTCTGATGCAGAATGGTCATTTTGATCATCCCTTGGCAGACCTGCTGCAAGATCAGGATGGGTCTGTCACTATTGAAGTTCACCTGTCTGTATTTTGGGGAGACTCTGATTCCTACAACAGGAATTAAAAGGGGATTTAGTTCTACACAAACGAAACTCTGTGAGAGCTTTGGAGGCAGGAAGAGTCACTGGCTCTCCTGGGCTTGGGTTTCATTCTGGCTGATAACACCCTGATAAAGGCCAGGGAAGCAATTCCAGGATTTTGATAGGCAGCAATACTCCCCTGAGCAGGAGGAGCAGGGGACAGATAGATTTTGTTCATGGCCTGCTGTTCTTCAGGCACTTTGTTTTACTTGTCCAGATGTGATACCAGCATTTCACATGGACATTGCTTCTCAAAGGGAGAATTAAAAGTGGTTTAACTGAAGCTGTTACCAGCCAAGGAGAGTCACAGTACTCACACACTGATTTTGGGGCCTCCTCTTTTCCTTCTTGACTGTTTTCTCATTCAGCTTGTAGAACAACATTGTTAAGGAGATTATTTTTAGGCTTTTGGTTTGGTTTTTCTCCAAAGCACCTGCAAGTCTCAGCATGGAGAACTTTCCTCCCTCTCTGCCCAGTTATTCATAATATCATCTTTCCATGCAAATAGACTCGTGGACCTTAATTAAAATATCAAACCAGACATTTTTGATATTCATTTCAAGACGTGCAATTTGCTGTGCTATCCCCAAACTTTTATAGCCAGATAAACAGGTTTTAAGGTTTCAAAGTGTAAAACCAGGTAAAATATTTCAAACAGGGTAAAAGACACGTGTGATAGCACTAGATCCATTTGAACAGCACAAAGGAAAAATAATGCTGACTTGGCCAAGTTTTCTAATTGAATAATTGCCAAACTGTAATTTCTGCCAAGGCCAGTTGGTATTTGCAGAGGTAAAAGAAGGTGGGGTGATGATTGCCTTAGCTCTAGGCTTATTCTTTCTTTAAAACCTCTTGAATTTAGATCCAGATGCTCGTGTTTATGGGTTCTGAGCAGTTTTGGCACAGAAAGAAGGTCTGGAAGTGGTGATGGCATTTAAGTGATTCTGAATTCATAGTAGTGAGGAGATAATTTCTCCGGGAAGCACTGGAAATAATTCAATTTATGGACTATTTTGGTCATTACCTGGATAGGAAAGAAAGAAAACAAATATCAGCAGCACATGTTGTTCTTTGCAGTGCTGCTCCAAGCAAAGAATGCCAAGGGACTGTGCCTGCCAGGCTGCTGGAAGCACAGGAATATGGAGAGGAGCAAGGAAATTCTGATGCTTGTCTAGCTGTCCTTGCTTGTGGCCCATAGCATCTGTTGCTGTAAGGATTCAGGAGGGATTCAGGGATTAAGGCATCAGCTTTGTAAAGATTTCTGCTTCTGCTCTTTGGACAAGAACAGTTGCAAATTGGATCCCAGACTAAACAAACAGGAGGTTTTCAGAGAAGCGGACTTGGATTTTTCCACATTTCCTCCTGTAATTGGATCCTCAGAGTGACACATTGTGGTTTTGATGTGCATTTTAAATATGGGAACGGATGTGTGACTTCTGGTGCTTGATAATCCAGGGTCTTGGATGCTGAGGCCATGAGAGATGAGGAGGGCTTGGAGTTGGAACTTCCATTCCCTCTTTCTTTAGGCATTCAGTTTGCAGGATCCTCCTGACGTGGGATGGGTTTTGTTTTCTTCACTCAAACTTTCATATTAACTGTGTTTTATGAGGGATCAACAAAGAAATCCCAGGAAAAGCCAGGGTGTGCCTTTGACATAAAGATTCTCCTTTCATTCTTGCCTGCCACTGGAGAAGAACCTTGGAGGTCACTGGAGACCTTAAAACTCCAGAATTTAACTTTTGCCCAGATTTTTTACATGTACCTATTATTGTAAAACATCCCTCACTTTGCACAAATCACATATAATATTAATATTATATTATATGTAATATACTATTATTAATATTATATTATTATGTTATTATTAATATATAATATAATATTATTAATATTATCGATATTCTGGCGTGTGCAACCAAGAGAGATCTGCAGCCTGACATGTTGCTGCTCTTTCCCTTCCAGGCTGCTCAAGGAGGAGATGACCTGGATAAAGATTTCACCGAGGAAACAATAAAAGAATACGATGGGAATTATTATGAAAACTATTATGACAGGACGGCCTCTCCCGACATCGGGCCCGGGATGCCTGCGAACCAGGACACCATCTATGAAGGGGTAAGAGGGTTCATTCTCCATCCAGGAGATGACTAGTTCATAATATTTGCCTTTCCATAATTTAGAGCATAATTAGCAACACAGAAACCAGTGTTGGGAGCATCATCTCACTTGGATTCACCCACCTGCCCCGAGGCGAGGAGGAGCTGCCCCATGTCCCTCCAACAGGAATTCCAGCAGCTCCTTGGGTTGCAGTTCTCCCAGGACCTCCAGCTGCAATTCCTGCTCGGTCTGGGGATGCTGCTGCTGAAGGCTGTGTCCTCTCTGACTTCTGTGTTTCCCTTGTGTGCTGCAGATCGGTGGCCCACGGGGCGAGAAGGGACAGAAGGGGGAACCTGCCATTATTGAACCGGTAAGGACCATCTGAGTTTTTGGGTTTTGCTGTTTTTCCTCAAGGAAAAAGGGCACAACGCATTTGTTCAGTGTGTCTTGGTGGTACTTGGTGGTTCAGTATTGTCTCAATGATACAGCTGGGAGGCTGGAAGACTTCCCATGAAAGAATTACTTGGTTCATTTGAAAACTTTTAACATAAAATACTGTAATTACATATTTAATTTTTTTTTTAAACTTCAAGAAGTGACCTAAATCACGAAGGATGTGCAAAATTTCCCATGAAAGAATTACTTGGTTCATTTGAAAACTTTTAACATAAAATACTGTAATTGCATATTTAATTTTTTTTTTTTAAACTTCAAGAAGTGACCTAAATCATGAAGGAAGTGCGAAATTTCCCATGAAATCTCTCATTTAGCAAAATAAAAACTGGAGCTTCAGGCAGGGGGCACATCTCACCCCTCCAGAGGGTTGGAAATGCCCCTGGCTCCACAGCAAACCTGCTCCCCTGAGCACCCACAGCCCGTGGCCAGGTCGAATCCTGACCTGAACTTGCAGCCTGGGGTTGGCTTTAATTGTGCAACTAATGGGTTCATCCCTCTGGAAATAAAAGGGTTCTCCCTGCACGCAGCTGTGGAAAGGAGAGGTTTGCTCCTGCACCAGCCCCAGGGTCCCACCAGCTTCCACTTGCAGAGAAACCCTGTGTCGCCCCAGGAGTGGAACCCAGCACACTCTTTCTTTATTGTTCTGCCCTGGGCTGCTTCTGAGGTTGTTTTTCTTTCTAAATAATGGTTATAATCTGCCTGTGCCCTTTGCAGAAAATGTGGGTGCCCAACTGAGCAGCCCTGAGGTGAGGGTGGAGCTGCTGCCCAGCTGCCCCACGATGGGAATGGCTGGGGCTTGCTCAGAGGCTCCTGTTGAGCAGAGCAAGGGGCTGTTGGTCGATGCCCATCTGTCTGTCCCTCTCTGTGTGTCAGGATGCCCAGGTACCCCCATTCCTGCTCCTCCCCAGGCTGGAGATGGAACTTCAGGCCCTTGCACCCACCTCCCCTGAGCAGGTCCCGGAAGGCTGAGCCCATGCTCGCTGCTCACCACCAGCTCAATTAACCTAATTTTCCTTGGCAGAGAGCCAGCCTTGCAGCAGCACTTCCCATCATCCCGAGGCCACTATTTTTCTTCTAATTCTCCCTTCCTTTCCTCCTCTGCCTGAAACTTCTGCAGGTAGTGGGGATGGGAGCCAGGGAGAAGCTGGGCTGCAGCAGCAGCGGGGCTTGAAAAGCCTGAGTTCCTGATAAAAGCACTCCCGACCTTTCCTTCCTTCTCTTCCTTTCTGGGTCTCGCTCCCACTGCAAACAAAAGGAAGAACGAGCGATTTCCTTATCGGAGGGGTGGGAAGGGAGGAGGGGAGCAGCCAAACGCCGGGCAGGGGTGGGCAGCCAAACCCCGCGAAGGCGATGGCAGGAGCCCAGCCCGAAGCGCTACAAAGCGAACAAAATAGTTAAGTTTAATCATCCAGAAAGAATTTGGCCGCCTTCACGATTTCCAAACACTGGAGCATGTACAGCTTTTGCCAGAAAGTAAACAAGACCAAATGCCGCCCGGTCCCTCTCCGTGCGGCTCCTCTTTAGCAGGAAAATTCGGATTTGCTGCGCTTTTTATCTCCCCCTTTTTTTTTTTATTTAATTTTTTTTTGGTGGGAGCTGCAGGAGAAGGGAAATAAGAACCAAACGCAAAGTTGGATTCTGCTGGATTTTCTCTCCTCCTCGTTCAAACCGCCCGTCCTTCAATCCTTGCTCTGTGCTGACACTTGCTGGAGGCAGCAGGGCAGGACAGGGGCAGGGGGAGAAGGGATGGAGAGGAGGGATGCAGGGACCCCAGACACCCAAGATCTGGAGCCATCAGGGTGCTGCTGCCTCCTCAGAGCCCTCTGTCCTTTTTGGGGGGACCCTGGTGCTCACATCTACTTTTGGGGAGGGTTTGCTCAGCACCTCTGTGTGTTGGAGCCAGACTTTGGGCTGTTTCTGTCATAGTGGCTTCACTTGTGTTGATTTAGTGGAGGCAACACCCTGTTTTCCCCTGGGACAGTCCCAAATCCATGGTTTGCCTGCTCTCCCCAAGGTGATTGCCCTTGGTGGCATCCCCCCCACGGGTCCTGTCCCCAAACCCTCACACATTTCCATCGCTCCCATTGAGGAGAAATCACGTAAACAGTGGAGGTTTCTTGCCAAGGAGAATCTCCAGATGTCCCTAAGGCTGGAGCTCAACATAAACCAACAGATAAATATGGGAAGATGCCAAGGATGTTTGCATCCCAAATTAGCTAATTAGCCTTGACTCTTGCTCATGTGGAGGAGTGTCCCCAGAGTCCGAGGTGGCCATGGGAAGCAGAACCTCAGTGCTGTGTGTGCTCAGAGCAGGGTAATGCTGGCACCCAGCAGCCCAAAAATCTCCTGGGGAGTCCTGTGTGGGCTGTGATTCTCTGCCCCAGCCCAGACACTGATTAGTTTTTGTTTTAGAACCTGTCACACCAAAAATGTGCCATCATTGGTCTCAACAGGGATGGATTTGAGGCTTTCCCTGCAATGTCCTTCACTGTGTGTCTGAAACGAACCAGTGCTTAGTGGGTGTTCTGGGGCACACTTTCTCCATCAACAGAACTCGCCTCTCTGTTGAAGTCTCCAACAGCAAGAGCTCATAGTCAGTGCAGGCTGGGGGAAGGGGGTGTGGAGTTCACCCCAAATTCCCACCCAGAGGAGAGCAGTGTCTCCATGGCCCACGGGGAACCTGCTGTCAAAATATGGGCACAGGGTGAAACCTTGTGACCTAAATTCTTTCCTGGTGAAGAACGACTGCAGAGGCACTTCTGTGGTGGTGGCAGCAGCAGCAAATTTCCCCTCACAGGTCCAACTGAGGGGGAAGCCAGGTTTTAAATGAGATTTTAAACGAGGTGGTAACGAGTAGTGTGGACACTGGGAAAGGCAGAAAATAGTGCTGGCCATGCATTAGTGGTGCAGAAACATGTATCCCACTGATGGAAGCAGGGATGGTCCATGGCAGCGTGTTTTATGCTATTTTTTGCTCCTCTGGGCTTAGAGACTGTGGCTTTTGGGGCAGGAATGCCTGGATTTTCCTCTAGACATTTCAGATTTGTTCAGCTCAGCCCTGTCTGCTGGAGTGGCTGCCCTGGGTCAGCCAAGGCTTTTGGCACCAGAGCCTGAGAACAGTTAAGGGTGTCCCAAGACCAGTCCCTGCACTTGCTTCCTCCAGGCTTCACCCACGTGAGCCAACTGCTTATCTACAGATTTTTAAAGATGGGTTTCATCCCATAGGAGAAATGTCCCTGTTTCCTACAGGTGAGCTGGGAAGTGCAGGGACTGCCCTGGCTTGACCTGGCTGTTGCTGGGCCCCAGAGATAAAAGGGGCAGTGCTCTCTGTGGAGCTCTTCCCAACACATCATCCTGATGTCTTCTGGAAAACATTTGCCAGGTTTATTGGGAGGTTTCTTTTTTGCCTCTTACATGCTCATAAGGGAAAAAAAAAAACCCACCTCAATTCTACTGAGCACATGATAGATCTGATATAAAGTTATGACAAAATATTTAGATTAAAACGGATGGAGAAGCATTATTTTACCATTTTGCCCACACAGTGATTTCCTACATACACAGAGTAAATCACAGAGTGCAGTCTGCTGGAAAAAATAATTTTAAAAAACATCTTGCAATTTGATTGCTAACTACTTTTTAAGCTCTTTGGGTCTAGAAACAGCTTTTTTTCCTGAAGCTCCAGCACCATCAAGGCTGGCTGTGCTGCAGGGTTTGCCTTTTGCCTGCTTTTGGGCAAAGAGAGAAGGGTTGTGTTTAGGAAGGTGACCCTGTGCTGGGGTGAGGGTGGGCCTGATGCTGGGGGTAAGGGCTGTTTGCCATGCCCTCAATGATTTAAACAGACATTATTTGGCTTTTCAATGTGCCTCTGGCAACAGGGACACAGGAGATGCCATCCAAGAGGGTGGAAACCCTTCATCTCTGGGGTGTCTCCATGTAGCAGCAAGACCTGAAATATTTAAGCACAGGACTTAACTAAAGCCGTGGAATCGAAGTGACCTGGGGGATGTGCCTTGCTAATCACTTTTTTTTTCCTTCCTCTTGCCCAGGGTATGCTGGTGGAAGGCCCACCTGGTCCTGAAGGCCCAGCAGTAAGTGGCACTTTTCCCCTTGCTCCGGGTTTGGGGTGCGTGTGGAGGGCTCGGCACACGGCTGTCCCCGGGCTCTATTGCTTCCATATGCCACACATGTGCACAGAGCGCTTTGGGGTGGATTTTCTGGTGCAAAAATAAACAGAAAGCTCTAAATCTTTTCCTGCTCGTTGTATAAATCTGCTACAAATAATAACACATTTTAGTGGCTCACTTTTTTCCTGTCTTTTTCCGTGCTAGGGCCTTCCAGGACCTCCAGGACCAACTGGACCTGTGGGCTTAATGGGTGACCCAGGGGAGAGGGTGAGTATTTGTGTTTTTGTCCTCTTTGCTGAGGCTTTGGGTGCTTTGGTGTGTGCACAGTGGGACTGTGATGTGTCTCTGGAGCCCTAAAATCATTCTCATCCTGTAATAGCACTTTCCTCTGAGTCAACCCCCAAAGGAACTTATGGTGGGGTACAGTGCTGACCTTTGGGGCAAAGGGTTGGGGAACAGCCACGTTAGTCAAGTGTATTAAGCCATTTTCCAAGTTAAAACCAATAGCTTGGGCTGAAAACCCTCTGCTCTCTGTCTGTGCTCTTTGGCTGCTCCTTCCAGTGCAGGAGCTGGGCTGTGGCACTGGGAGAACAGGATGAGCAAACACCAAAATAGTCACTAACACGCTAAAATGAAGTTCAGCCACTCTTCTGCATCCTCATTGCAGCTGGTGCTGTGAGTCCTGGCAGAGGGTTTGGTTTTGGTTGGGACCAGGATAGTCCTGGGGTCACGCCAGCACTGCTGCTCTGGGTCTTTCCTTATGCTCATTTTGTGTCCCAAGCTGCTCCCAATGGGAAAGGGGCTCTCGTGCAGCACTTCACCTTTGCTGGATGTGGATTATTGGTCTGTACCAGCAGCACTAGAGACTGATTTATGTGCTTTAACAATGCAATAACTTAGGTTTTGATGTTACTGTAAATCAGTTTTGTCCCTGGCAGCCACTGCTTTGTAAACTGCTGCTGCAGAAGCCTCTGGCTTCGGGATGTCTCATCAAAGGCAGCTGCTCCCAAGTGCTTTTGTGGATTGCGACCCCAAATCCCATAATTTAACACCACTCTTCAGTCAGAGCTGTATATTTATTTGTTATTGCTGAGTCCCCACCTGGGATCAGGAGTGACCTGTGTTTTGGGAGCTGCTGAACTCAAGCCTCAGGTCAGTGAGTGGTTCATGAGCACCATTCCAGCAGCAATTCCAGTGCTTGGCAATGCCACAAATTAAAAGGCACTGTCCTTGCTTCAAGAGCTGAGTCTCTGGAGTGACCCTGTTACCAATGCACTCCTCACTTGCTTTTGTTCACCCACAGTTCAAGCCTGTTCCTCATCCCTGGCAGAGGCAGCCAGGTGAGCACACCTGGGCAGATGTGCAGCAGGCTGCCCACTGCCCCCAGTCCTCCTTCCCAGCAGGAATTTTGACCTGACATCTAGTGGAAAATTCACCATAGCACAGACAGGATCTGGCCTTGCAGAGAGGCTGAGGTGGGATCAGCTTTGTTGTCTCAGCTCAGTTTGGTGCTGGGAGCAGAGGAGCACATTTCCTGGAGGATAAGGCAGCTCTGTACCCGTGGTGCACCACAGCATCCTCCACGGAGCCAAGAGCTCAGTTCCAGGTGGGGAACCACATCCCCTTTGCCTCCTGGGTGCCCAGGAAGGATGAGCTGGGGTGACCAGATGCAGACTTTCTGCCTTTGTAGGGCTTCCTAATTTCCTGACAGATTTTTTGGCTTGGACAAGGTGGGAAAAGACAACGGGAAGGTCTGGCTGGATAAACGAGTTGTGCTGTTCTGATGTGTGTCTCACACATTTAATTGCTGCAAATTCTTTAAGTGTTCATGTCATGGCCTTGATTATATATATTTTTTCTTGAACATTCTTTTTCTTTGGTCTTAATTGAGCAACCTGAGACCCAGAAAAAATAGGAGGGAGAATTCCTTTAATTACAGAAGATCAGAACAAGATCTCTGTGCCCCCAAGGATCTCCCCTTAGCCTTGTTTTAACTGTTGCAGTGATACCAGAGGTCTGCTGTGGTTTCCTCTGTGGTGGCCATCTCTGTGTTCCCTTTTCTTTCTGAAGCACCCAGGTTGCAAAATGTAACCACTGAGAGAATTAAAATCATTGCTGGCCTGCACTGGGAAGGGAATGCAGCGGTTTTAAGGTGCACTTGAGGAGATTCCTCAGCTGTTGGGGCATTCCTGTGGCAATATCCATAACCTGGGCCCAGGATTTTTTTTAGGAGAGGTTCTTTGTTGCCTTCTTGGTCCCTGGGGGATTGGCCGGAGTCTGCTGGCTGCTGCATTCCCACTTTCCCCCCCCCCGGAGCACTGCTGGAGAGACCCTCACCTCTTTTACACTCCTGGTGTATTTATTGTGTTTTTGGATGGAACAGTAATAACGTTGCTGGTGGTTGTGACATGACTGAGAACGAGGGGCCCTGACTGTGCTCCATCGATCGGTGCCTGCGAGCTCAGAAAGTCGATACAGGCTCAGCCCAGGGCTGTGAGCCAGGGCCACTGCTCCTGGAGAGCTGGGCTCAATTAACCCTTGTGGCACTGCAGCCCTGGATCCTCCTGAAGGACCAAGGGCAGGCTCTGCATCCTTGGTGTTGGCTTCCCAGAGGATGGGTGAGCTGGGCAAGGCCCCAGCTGCGTTTTGCATCTTGCAGTGGTCCAGGATTACTCAAAAGAGCTGTGTGGCTTCATCAGATTCTTGGTAGGTCTTCATCCTGCTCGGGCTCCTGCGTGATGCTCAGCTTCCTCTTCTCCCTTGGATGTGCTGTATCTACTCCTGCATTCCTGGCAGGCCGGATGCTGCCCCTGGTGACAAGGGAGTGTGTTTCTGTCATTTGTCCAGGCAGATGCAGACATTTGCTGGCCAAGCTCCTCTTGAACAGCCCTGCAAAGCCAACCAGCAGCAGACACGCTGTCCCTGACGATGCTGCTCCACACCCTAAAATGAAAGGAATAATTTGCATTCTAGCACAGGCAGCACATCCTGCTTTTCCAAGTGTCCAGAACAGAGTGTAATGCAACATACTGTGCACAGAGGAGTGATGAACTTGCAGAGCCAGGAACTGCGACTGTATTAAAATACTCCTTTTCAATTAGAGCAGCTCCACTTTTAATTTGTTTATTATTAACCCTGCGCATGGCTCATGAATTTACATGACTTCCCCGTGTACGGGGAGGAACGTTCCCTCTGCCTGCATCTGATGGAAAGACTTTTTATTTGCAATCAGGCAGGTGCACTGAATTAATGTACCGACAATATTCAGGTATGTTAATATTGGCCAACATTCATTTAGCTCTGGTTTATTCATCATGTCAGCTCGTTCATTTTTTCCCAGTTATTTTACAACACGCAGAGGAACTTGTGTCAATGGCAAAGCTGTGGAGCAGCATGTTTGTGGGAGGTTTCAGAGGGCTCAGCTGAGGGGAGGGCGGTTGGGGATGACTTAGGCAGGTTTCTTTGAGCAGTGGGAAGAAGGAAATATGGCACTTGGGAGACCGAAGGGTTATTTCATGGGTACTCCAGGCTGGAATGAAGAAAGTGGGAAAATGTGTTGTTTTGAACAGGATGAGCTGCAGCATTAGAGCAAAGTGCAGCTCCATCACTCTCCCCGTTGTGTGTTTGGAATTCTGGGGTGTCTGGGTGCTCTGGGTTGGTCAGCACACCTTGGGGGAAGGCTGGTCACAAAGCAATAGCTGTATCTTCCAAGACCATACAACCATTGAGTCCCAAAAGACTTATTCCCCTGGGGACAGTTTTGCACCTCAGAAGTGCAATAGGATCCCTAAAATCCTTATTGGGCTTCTGCAAGGCTTGATGTTTTCAGGGTGCTGGTTTTCCCATCAGATGGCAAGTGCTGCCTTGCCTAGCAGACCCCCAAAACTGCAAGGAAGATCTTCTATTACATAATTTTCTGACCAGAGCTGAAAATGGCACAGAAATAATCAGAGAGAGAGAGACACTCAGTGAATTTTGAGTTCCAGTGCTGTGGGCTGTTGGGTACCACTCTCACTGCCTGCGACTTGAGGAGCCCCCAGCACCAACACGCTGAGGTTTCAGTTTAACCATTCCCTTGAAATATTACACCAGTGTTTGCACTCAGAGTGGCATTTTAGAGCACTGCACCAAATGAGAGTTGAAGTCCCCATCCCTGGCTGCCATATATCAGCAAATCCCTATTTACATAACGAGAGCGACACAGATTTACGCCCCGAGCCTGGCAGGCTGCATTTCTTCGAGGCATTCGTGAATTTAAATTTACAAAGTGCTTTATGGGTTTGATTTTCCTCCGTCCCCTTGCCCCCTGCTGATCCACCCCACAAGGAACAGACCTCCCACACCCAACCTGAAACAAAAAGAGGCATTTATGGGTATAAAAGCATTGCATCAACATTTGTCAGGCAGAGTACACACACACACACACGGAGGGATAAACAAAGCTCATTCCTGATCCATCATGTGCAGGAGTGGAGTTAAAGGAGAAGAGGGAGAGAAAAGAAAGTTTATTATATAAAGCAAGTCTGGCCTAAATTATTTATGGGGCTTCTGCTCCAACAGATGGGACTGGCCTCTGCACCTCATCAGCAGGGTCAGGGGCTCCGGTGTCGGCCAGACTGAGCAAACAGCGCGAACGCAACACTGTGAGCTCGTCTTGAAAAATGGATGGGCTGGTGTGTTCTGCAGCCTCCCTTCGCTGCTGAGGGAGCTGCTGGGCTTTTTTTCCCCTGTATTTTTTTGCTGATAAATCACTGGCTGCAGCTCTGGCTGCTGCAGCAGCGCCGGGAGCAGCGTTGTTATTCCGGGCTGGTCGCGGTGCAGAGCCGGGCTCCGGGTCCGCGGGTCTGCGGGGCAGCTCTGCCCTGTCATTGTGGTGCAGGTCCCACCACAGCCCCGTCCTGCCTGGGGCAGGGTGGAGTAGCCTCAACTCCTCACCCCCCTCCCTGGTGCTGGGCTCTAATTTAGGGCTTGGAACTCTGGCTTGGGTGTTTTGGGTTCCTTTGTAAGCAGGAGACAATAAGGGAACTGTGAAGTAGAGGGAATGGGAGAAGGAGGAGCACACAGGTGTGAAATGCAAAGAGAACATTCTGGAAGACTGTGGGGCAAGGATAACACACCAACTGTTTTGGTTTGGTGGTTTGGGTTTTTTTAATTCTCTGATTTTTAGGGACTTCGTTACCTATTTCTCTTTCCCTGATCCTTTTCCCACCTTTATCCACCTCCCTGTGCCTTGTGGGGTGAACATATGACTTTCTGTGACCCTGCAGCACGTCCATCTGTGTCTGAGATTTGTGACAGGGTTTTATCTTACTATTATTTTTACTATTGCATGCACTGGAGGGCTTCAGACAAGTTGAAGAGAGTGAGGACTAACATAGGTGTCTGTTGCTTACCCTTCCAACAACACTGGTTCTCTATAGATGGATTTATTATTGGCATTTACTAAATAAAGGAGTATCCAACTCCTCAATCTTGATCTGCTGGCCAGGCAATCCTCTCTGTCTGGCCACAAAATGAGCACCAAGACATATTTTGGCCTCATTGGGACGTGGTCAAGTCACTCCTACCTTAAGCTGTTGAGAAAATTGCAATTAGACACACACATTGAGTAGTTGGATGTCATCCTCATTTGCATGTAGGATCACTGGATGGATGTGTAAATTGGGGTTAACTAAACTTTTTGTCAAGTCCACAGTTGGGAATACAGATAATCCATGGGCTGTCTTAGGAAAATTGGCCATATTTGATTATTTATAGCTTCATCAATAGATCTTTTACTGCACACTCGTTTCTTTAGTACGAGTTAAAGACACTCAAACTGATGTTAATCAGCACAGCTCCATTGAGATCCACAGAGTTTGGCTGATTTACAGCTGCTGACAGGATCGCTCCATTGGAGATGGAAGTGGCCTCATAGGACTTAAAAAAAAAAAAAAAGGAAAAAAACCAGAAGAGAGAAAAATGGAATGACCCAGAAGACTGAACACTACGGAAATGAATTTATCTTTCTCCATTTCTATCTCACCGTCCCTGAGTTATGAAGTTTCATATTTTTTTTAATAGGTTTTAATGGATCCAACTAAACATTGATTCCATTAACTTGCAGCATTGCAGAGATTCTCAGAAAGAGCTTGGAAATGTGGGGGCCAGGATGGAAGAAGAGGGAATTACTGGGAAAAGTCGTGTTGGGCTTCCACAAAATTTGCCTCAGCATTGGGATGTCTGCAAACTCAATCCCTGTGTGTCAAGACAATGTCATGACATATCCCTTTACAGCCACAGCTGCTTATGTATGGACATGATCAAAATGATGCTATAGAAGTTTATTTTTGTTTGTTCTTCTTGCAGGGACCACCTGGTCGCCCAGGTCTTCCAGGAGCAGATGGTTTACCAGGACCACCAGGGACAATGCTTATGTTGCCTGTAAGTACAAACATAACTAAAAAAACCCACATTTAAATGAGTCAGGTTTCTTGGCTTTGTTGCTGTTCAGAGCCCGTTCTTGCAGAAGCCTCCCATGTCTTTCACACCAAAGACATATTTTCCTTGAGGTAAAAGATGGATCTTGATGGTTTTTCTTGTAAATTTATTTTTTGCAAAGCACTGTAATTTCTTCACTCATCAAAAGCACTAGGTTAAAATTTCCAGAAGTGATGAATAATCATAGAATTCATAGGATATCCTGAGTTGGAAGGGACCCACAAGGATCCAACTTCTGGCTCTGTACAGGATACTCCAAAAATCCCACCATGTACCTGAGAGCCTTGTCCAAACACTTCCTGAACTCTGAAAAAGTTTAAGTGTTTCTGCCTGGGCACAGTGTTGGAAACAAAAATACATGAAGAAGCAACTGAAGGCACTTCCAAGGGCCAAATTTCCATGTAGAACCCTCCCTCCTACAGCGAGGAACCTCAAACAGTTCTTCAAAACCAAAATTATAAGCACCTGAACAAACTGGTCTTCTTTGATGACCAGTGGTTAATTTGTATTGTTTTTTGTCTCCTACATGAAGCCAGTAAGTACCAAATCAGCTTTCTTGGTCCTGGGATGCTGAAGGAATGGTTATATTTTGTGTCTGCTTTGATGTGAGACAACCCTATGGAAACCAGCTGCTGAAAATAAGTAGTTGGGTCCCAAAGGGAAGGAGTTTTTAGTGACAAACCTCAGCACACTTGGACAGGTTCCAAAGGGCTGGGTGAGGCTTGGGTAGGTTCCTGGCAAGGTTCCTGAGCAGGCTGGGCCAAGAGCTCAGCGTGGAGCTCAGCTGGCCATTACAATGAATTTGTTGGCCCCTCCAGAACCAACCACGGGCCCATAAATTGCATCTCTTTGGACCTCCTTGCCAAGTCGGTGTGGTCACACACCTAACACCAACCAGGGGAAAGGCCAAGGTGAAATGGAGGTGACAGAACCATCCAAGTAGGTTCTGCAGCCAGGACTGTCCTTCTTGCAACACCCCAAGCACAAAACTAAGGCAGGAGGAGGCTGTGTGCCCAGGAAAGTGGAAGAGGCAGAAGGGGTGGAAGAGGCAGAAGGAAACATTAACCTCCTTCTCTTTCAAGTTTGGAAATAAAACATTAACACTTGGGGGGTTTAAATCCTTGGAGTGCTGAGGGATCCTGGCTTGAACCACAGGCCAAACTCTGGTTTTTGGAGCAAACTGCCACGCTTGAGAAACCCGGCCTTTGTCGGGGCAAACGGGCGGCTACGGCCAAATAACCTGATCCAACCCCGTCTGCCCGGGGTCTCCTGGCCAACAGCACCCACACAGGGAATATCAGCCCTGTGAGAACCGTGGTGTGTGAGGTCCTCACGTGCAGAGCCCACAATCCCCCCCATTGTGTGTCCCTCCGGGCTGGCAGAGCTCGCGGGGCGGGTGCGGACGTGGGAAGCGCGGTTGGTTTTTTGTGGCTCTGAGCTGGGTGACCCGAGTGCGGTGGGTTAATGGGATGGTCTGGAAAGACAGTGATGGATTTGGGTCAGTCATGCTGAACCAAATTGTTTAGGAGTCAGGCTACTGTGAGGGTTGGGAGGACAGCAACCCGGTGACCTGCTTTCTCCGTCTTGTCCCCATCAGTTCCGCTTTAGCGGAGGAGGAGATGCTGGATCCAAAGGACCTCTTGTTTCAGCCCAGGAGGCCCAAGCCCAAGCCATCCTGCAGCAGGCCAGGGTAAGTGATGGGAGGTGGGATGTCTCCTGCAGCAGGTTCTCGTGGAAGCAAAGGAAAACCAGAATAAATGTGTCAGAGGAGATATCTTCATACTCACACCCTTCGTGGGGGTGGCAATAATTTCCCATCTGAGATGGAATTACTTGAGATCCACCTCAATTTGGATTTTTATTAATAACCAGTGAGGGTCCAGGTCCCAGTAAGCTGGTTTTACATTGCCTACAGCCTTTGGACCAGACCTTTTGCTGGTGCCAGACCTGTTGGCTCCAGTGCTGTTTGTGCTGACAGTTTTGAGGGTCCATATGAACAGTTGTGGATGTGCTCTAGGGATTCCCTTCTTTTGTGTGTTTTTTTCCCCAATAAATCATAATAATTAACTGTAAGTCACTGATGGAAGCTGTTCCCAGCCCCACGAATCTCAGCAGGCAGATCTGTAATTTTCTATGATGTATTTATTTGGAAATACAGGATGGTTATTCATGCAATGTTTCTTTCCATGGATGACCTTATTGATCGATGATCAAATCATCCCTGGTTTACTGGTGACAAAAAGCTGGTCGTGCACATTCCCAGTACAGCTCCTGTTCCCTGCCTGGATGAGTGACTTGGTGTATAAGGCTTTGTACTCATCTGTTCAGAATATAACTTAATTTTTAGCCAGTGCAGCTTAGAAATTTTTCTTCCGTGAGTGGTTGTGGTGTTTTTTTGGTTTTGTTTTTTTTTTTTTTTTAGTTGAGTTGTTTAACATGATCATTGCCACGTTAAAAGCAGAGATGCAAGAATCACAATTCCAGCAGAAGGGGAAAGCCACAATATTGTGTTTGTCCTGATCTGGCCCAAGAGGAACCGACTTCTGGCTGTTTAAGGAGGCAGTTCCCAAAGGAACATGGCTTTGGGACATTGCATCTGGGGACAGAGCTGAGATGTGCTCCTCAGGTCCAAAGCCCACATCTGTGTGCAGCTGGAATGTGCTGTCTGTTATTCAGGGCTGTTTGCAGTCACTTCAGCACAGACTTTTTGGGGCTGGGCTGCTGAAATGGGCTAAAAAAGCAATTTATTTCACCCTTGAATGAAATAAAACCCACTGTGATCTCCACCCAGCTGGGTGACACTTGCTCCTTTTGGGTTTATAGCAAGGAATTTGGCTTAGCTGGGGCTATTCTGGATTCCATCCAACTCCCCTTTCACAAAGGAGTTTGATTTTATACTTATTCAGGTAGAGTACAGGGCCTTGATTCCACCAGTCACTGCATTTTCCTGTCCATTAACCTTGTTCTGAGAATAATATCAGCGGATTATGTTTCTGGTGTTGCCTTGTCAGTCTTAATTTCAAGCTTGCCTATGGTTTTTCCATCAGCATCTTATTTTGCTGGGAAATAGTGAGTTTGACCTGATAAAGGTTTCATGAGAAGCACCTGCTTTCTCAGACTCTCTGGTTTTGTTCTTTTTTTTTTCCTGCCTGTTGAAAATTGTGATTTATGGAAAAAAAAAGCTTCCTCCTCTCACTCCAAGTCCGTTTCTTTTTTTAAATTTTCAGGTTTGGGGAAAAAAATTTAAAAACCAAATAAATCCTGGGTAACTTTGGAGCACTGGATGAAAAGTTGTGTATTTTTATAAAGGAAAAAATTAATTCCATGGTTAACTTCAACATTTTTGGCTGAAAACTTGGATACCAAAGCAGAAAGGGAAATGAATGTAATTTTTTTTTTGTGGTGAAGCTACAGGATATGGCAGGAATGGAAAAGGAGTCCTGCAAGGGGGAGGATGCCTTCTTTCCTTTTTTGGGTTTGTTTTTCTTGTTATCACTGCTGTTAATTGCATTATTAGGTTGATTTATTCCCTTAAAATTTGGCTTCCATTAGGCACCAAACGTTATCCCAGCCAGCAGTGGTTCAGAGCATCTCCCTTTTAATGGGGTGTTGTAAAAAGATGCCACATAATCCAGCATTTGTGCAATATTTATGCCATTCCAAGTGCAATCACGGGTAGATTTTAATTACTGGAGTACACAGATAATTACAACTCTTTGAAAGTGTTGAATTGTCACGAGGGAACAAATTGTCTGAGTGATGTTTTAAGTGTGGACCAGCTCCATTACCCACCGTGGAAATTACTCACTTGATACATGGTTACATGACTCCTTAATTATTGAGCTAAAAGCCCCCTGTTGCAAATAGAACTGTAGTTCAGTTTGGACCATAAAGAAAAAAAATTCTCCTAAACTGAAGTGGGATCATAAATATTTATGTCCTCTCAGCAGACTCGTGCACCAGCCAGGGGGTTTCAAAGAATCATGGAACGCTTTGGGTTGGAAGGGACCTTTGGGATCATCCAGGAAGGTGGGCAGGGACACCTTCCACTAGACCAGGTTGCTCCAAGTCCCATCTAACGTGGCAGGGATGGGGCAGCTGCAGGTTCTCTGGGCACAGAGGAGTTGTTTGCCCGTTTGTGGGTGGCAAAAGGAGCCGGTGGGGCAGCACATGATGTTTCCTGGGGATAAAAACATTTCTCCAAGGGCTGGTGGCCTCTGGGCACGGAGAGAGCATGTGGCTGGTGGTGCAGTGGTGGCTTTGTCCCACTGGAGCAACAAAGCAGAGACACAACTGAGCCCCTTCTCCCTTTGTGTTGCAGCTGGCGCTGAGGGGACCCGCGGGGCCGATGGGGCTGACGGGGCGTCCGGGCCCCATGGTGAGTGAGGGGGCAGGACAGGAGGGTGGGCTCTGGGATACCTCCATGAATGGCTCTTTCTCTACACGACCTGATTCTGTGGTGGAAAAATGTAATTAATTGTGTTCTCTGCCCAAAGGGACCCCCGGGCAGTGGAGGACTAAAGGGAGAGGCTGGAGAAATGGGACCGCAGGTGAGTGTGGGCAAATGAAGGTGTGAAGCAACCAGTCCTGCTTTAGAGGCTGTTGGGAAGGAGGGATTCAGTAATCCAATGCCAGTGGAAAGTAGGAAGGTGTGGGAACATCTATTTTGCATGTAAATGTCCCTCCAAGTGTCTGAATCTGGACAGGATTTTAAGCCAACAGCATAAAACTCTGCAGGTGGTATTCCCTTCCTGCCAAGACATCCATGGAGGGGTCCTGTAAATACAAGATAGACTGGAGCACAGGGAGTTCAGGAATGTTCAGGAAGTTGTTCTTCCAAGCTGTAAATCCTGCATTAAGGGGAAGTTCCCATTTTCTGCTGGTGGAGGACATGATTTATCTACCCCGTGTGGAGCTGCTTGCAGGGCAAAAGCTTCCTCGTGGATAAATGCCCACAATTCCTGTCCAGAGATGCTCATTCCTGAGCCTTCCCTGTGTGTTTGGAACTACAGGCTCCGCTTGAGGGGTTCACCTCTCACTTTGTAGCCCTGGTGACCCTGACAGCTCCAGCAGTGCCTGCTCTGGGCCCTGAGCAGAGTCTGTTCATCGTGCCTTGGGGTGATGCCATTTCATCCTCTCTCCTTGATGCCTTGCAGGGTCCACGAGGCATCCAGGGCCCTCCCGGTCCGGCAGGAAAACCAGGCCGCAGGGTGAGTGTCCTGGCAGCTGCTCTGACACTGCATTAGCTACGATTTCTGCTGGAAACTGTTTCTGCTGCCAAACAATCCCTGAGCACCGGGAGCGTTGCACAAGAGCCGGCTGAGGGCCAGGCAGGGGCTTGTCCGGGACCTCTCCGGACATCTGGATGGACAAGAATGAGGATGAGAGTTAAAAACTGGGCAGTGTGGGGAGAACTGCAAGGCCACACGTCCCACTCTTTTTATCCTGGTGTTTTTTGGTTGTTTTTTTTTGGCTCTGCAGCTTTGAGGTTGTAGCTGCATAAATGCCTTGAACTGGTTGGACAGTCCCCAGGGCTGGTGGAGTGTGAGGAGGATCCAGCCCCTGGGGGGGTTCTGGAGTTGGTATAAATCCTGCTCACTTGCTCTGTTGACATCCCCAATGGTGATTTTTATTTTACACCATCCTTCCTGCCAGAGGAAGAAATGAGCAGGTCTTTTGTGTGACCCACTTCTGGCTTCCTTAAAAGAGAAATGATCCCAATTTCAATTTGCAGCCATCATCATTAGCATATCCTAAATTGTGCTGGAAGATAATTATTTCAAATAAAAATCAATGACCATGTCCCAGCATCCCATGTAGTGAAGTAGCTTTGCTGCTGTTTGTCTCCCACCTCTCATTAACTCCAGGCTGAGCCTGGATGTTGCTTCAAACACAGGGCAGTGTTTTTTTCCCTCCCCAACCTGTGAGATCCAACTTAAATAAACCCTCACTTTGCACAGATGTCCCTGTGGCCCCGACCTACCCTTTGTGTCTGACTTTGCTTGTCTCTGCTGCAGGGCCGAGCTGGCAGCGACGGTGCCCGGGGAATGCCAGGCCAGACAGGACCAAAGGTAGCACCACATATTTATGTCTTTTGGGAATCTGCATCTGCTTTTTAGCAGGAATGAACTGAGGGACCCGTGGAGAAGGAGCCCACCTTGCTTTGGAGGAGGTTGTTTCGGTGGTCCAGAGACTTCTGTGGAGTTATGGAAGTTGAGGGAGGGAGGTTAAACACACTCCCAGAAGGCACAATAGCAGTTTTTCTTTTCTCTTTCTGTTTTTTTTTTTAAATACAACTTCTTTTAATTGCTGGATCCTCTTAAGGATGAAATATGCTCCCTTGCTTAAGAATGAAATATGCTGCAGTTGTAGAACAAATACTTCAGAATCCCAATTACAAAAACCAAACATGAATGAGTGGTTGGAAACATCCTAGAATATAACTACCAAAAACATACCTATTAACTGAGTGAGGAAATGCAGGAGGTGTGGTGAGGAATTCTAATTCCCTGTACTTTTTAGACAAAATCCCCTCATTCTGCTGGTATTACCAAGCAAGGAAGAAGCTGCTCCACTCAAATTGAATGCAGAGGAAGTTTGCTCAGGGAATCATGTCTTAGAAGGTTTAAGTACTTTATTATGTAGATACTTAAGGCTGGAATAGATGGGGGGTTTTGATACAGAGACAGGAGACTGCAAATCATTTATCCTGTAAAGTGCTTTAATGAGCGTCGACTGCCCTCAGAGGAGGGGATGCCAGGGAAGAAGGGAAGCAGAATAACGAGCAGTGCTGGGAAGGAGAAGGAAATTTGCTGTGAGCAGAGGCAGAGAGATGCTCCAGGACCTGCCAAAAGGAGGGAACTGGAGGTTTCTCTGGGTGCATCCCAACCAGCCTCGGCCAGCCCAGTCTGTCCTCCCATCTGCCCAGGGGTAACGGAATTCCCTTCCCTTGCTTTCCTTTCCTTTGTAGAAGGGAGGAGCTGGTACTGTTTTAGCAATTCACATACCATGGGGATGTGAAAACACAAGTGGCTTCACCCCTTTACAGAGAAAAAAGGACTTTTCTGTCTGTGGGGCCTTGCTCGCTGTCACCCACGATTTGCAAACACCCCCGTGCCATCTCCCTTCTCCAAAGATTTGAGGCATTTGGGAAATAACTCTCTGTGCATTCCTGCCCTACTTTCATTAAGACAACTTCCAGAATTTATTTACATATATTTCTTTCCTTGGAGTGTCCAGGAGGGTTAAAAAGGATGTATGGGACAGATTGCAGTAAAGCTCAGGATGGTGTTTGGGAACCTGTTGGTAGGTGAGGGAACACCAGTGTCCAGTTTGGTCCCCAGTGGATTGCAGTTTGTAATTCCATGGAATTAAAACTAAATAAATACTTGGACTACAAAAACCTGCTTTAGATCATGGAGAAGTCTCTCAGAGAAACTCTGAAATCCACATGGAAAAGCATTTAAACTGTAGGTGTTGGGAGGACTTTAACTGCAAATGACTTTGAGGGTTTTTTTTTTTCTTGTTTTAATCTATAACTTTGAAATCATCACTGGTCTGATGGAAGGTGAAGGCTGAATGTCTGAGGGAGAAAATCGATCCCTCCTTGACACGAGAAAAGAAACAAATTGGAAGGATATTCAACTGCAGGTGGAAATGTGCTCTAACCTGGGTTTTCTTTCAGGGTGACCGAGGGTTTGATGGCTTGGCTGGTTTGCCTGGTGAGAAGGGAAACAGAGTAAGTTTTCTTTCACTTGTCTTCAGGCCACTGGCTGGAATAAAACCTTGGCAGGAGGAGGTGGCTGGGAGAAACTGGGAGGAGGGCAGCTATTACTGGGAACGAGCCACAGTGGTTTAATTAAGAGAGGATGAGTGTCCCTAAGAACACGTGGGATGTCACAGCTTCCCTCCCAGCATTCCCATCCCAGGAAGCTGCAAGATCCTTCTCGGACTGCTCGAAATTGGAATGGAGGGGAAAAATGCCTTAATAAAATGCAACCAAAAACTAAAGCTGGAGGCAAAAGCTGCTGTTAGACAGTGCAGTTGGGGATGGAAAGCGCCAGAAATGACAATGGGTTAAATCTCTTTGCTTTATAATTAAACAATGGGGGGGGAAGAAATGCCAGGAGGTGGTTATTTTGGCAGGCTGTGCGTCCCTCCCCTCCCTGGAGATGCAGACACTGCTTTATAAAGCAAGGGAGTGTTTGAGCAGCAGAGATTGAATCATGATTACAAGTTACACAGAGAAGGGGAGATGATGCCTGGGAGAGATGTTTAGTCAGCCAGCACTGGAGGGGCATGGCCTGGGCACAGCAATAACTGTGTGCAGAGCACGAGTCCTGCTCCTCAGGGAGGTCCTTGGTTCCCAGTCCCCTGACAAAGTGTCACCAGTAAATCCCATGAGCTGCAGCCCCTGGGATGAGTCTGTGGGTGCTGGAGCCCATGAGGGGTAGAGAGGAGCTGCTACTGCTTCAGGGAGCACAGAGACAGCAGCTATGAGGGTACAAGCGCCTTCAGCAAGTGCGGGCAGAGAAGTCAAGTCCATCACTTGGTTTATCACCATTCCCTGATGTTTTCCGTTGCCAAAGTGCTTCTGCCTTCTCTGAAGCATTCTCTGCCTTTCCTTTACAGGGTGAGCCAGGCCCCCACGGACCCCCAGGGGCACCTGGAGAGGATGGGGAGAGGGTAAGTCTGTCTGTGGATTCAGCAGCCCTTTGAATTCCTAACGAACCCCGGCAAACAAGAAGCAGATGCACCAACAGCCCAGAGACGTGGCAAGAGCAGCCGGCACACGAGACCTCGGTCCTCGTGCCCTGGGGATGCTGCTGGTGGCTGTGGAGGGAGGGAAGCACAGCAAGGAGCTGGGAGTATAAGGGAAAAGAAAAATCTGGTTTTAAAGATCTGGTCAGAAAACTCGGGTTTTGTTAAAAGAAAAAAAAGGTAACACGAGAAAAACGCGAGCAAAGTATCGCTCCTGATTTTCCTGAGACCCAGCGAATTGTAGCAAAACTTGGGGAAGAGAAATTCCGGGCAGGCGGGGGAATCAAAGATTAAATTGTTCACTTCTCTTTCCACTGTGTTCAGTCAATAATCAAAGGTCTCTAGCAAAGCTCAAACTAAGTGATTACAGCTCTAGAGAGCCTGGTTTAAAGGGAAGAGATTGAAAATGCTGAAGCCGGGGGTGTGAGGAGCGTGTGGTTTAACCGGAGCAGCCGCTATGGATTTCCCAGGCTCTAATCCCCTTCCACGATATTTTCTTTCCACCTTTGGCTATTTGTTTCCTGTGTAAAGCTCAGATAATAACACCTTCCTCACCACAGGGTTGGGAGGATTAATTAGTTGCGGCTCTGAAGTGCTTTGAAGTCGAACAGAGCAAACCCGTGTCTTGCGGGGGAAGAACGAGTGTCTGGAGAACTTTAATCCTAAAAGAGAAAAAGAAACCATTTGAGGTGTGCAGGGAGCACAGAGGGCATAACTGAGAAGAAGAGCATGAATTTTATCAGCAGAGGAGGAGGGTTTACAAGGCCTGGCTGCTGGGATTGGTTTCCTAAGAGGGAGCCTCAGGTTTTGGGTTATTTAAAACGACTCAGGGGAAGCACCATCTAATAATTTTGGGGGTTTGTTGGGACAACAGCAAGATATGGGAGTAAGGGGGTGAAGAATTACCCCTTTCTTGCCTCTGGTTTATCTGAGGAGCCCTAATTTGGCTAAATCACATTCCCAGGGTGTTGCTTCCATACTGCCTTGCCATTCAGTTTGGTATTAAATCTTGTGGTTATTGTCTCACATGCCCTGAATTGTTTCTACAACGTCTTGTCTGGTAGCAAAATCCATCTTTATAAACATCAACATGAATTATGAAGTATCCTTAGAGCATTTCTAATCCCTGGTAAATTCTGCACACACAACATTAGTCTCCAGGCTTACAAGGTCTTCCTCATGCACAGATTCCCTTCCAGTCCTCCAGGGAAGCTGCTTCTCTGTGTGAATATTATTTAACAGGAACAAAACACCTGTGGTGTGACTGAAATATAACTGGTTTATTCTGTCTCTCGCTGCTTCTCTCCTTTTCTCTGCTGCTGAACAGGGAGATGATGGAGAAGTTGGACCCAGAGGTCTTCCTGGAGAACCTGTGAGTATCTTCTTCATTGGCTTCATTGCTGCTTTGGGTAAGGTCTTGATGTGATAATGGTGTTTTTAGGGGTCCCATGGGGCAGCTCTCCTGGTACTAAGCAAGACCCTTGAGGTCCTGCAGGGACTGAGCTTCTCTTGCTTGAAAACCCACATGAACAGTTTAGAGGTTATCCGTGCTGTGACAACTCTGGTTTGCTTATTTTTACTAAGACACCCACCACAAAGAGAAGATGCTCTGGGGTTTTTATGTTTGATTGGGTTTTTATTGTTTTTTTTAGTTTTTTTTTTAAATGAGCAAAATTCTCATTGATTTTGTTTGCTCACTGTCTGGTCATTGAAAAAATTTTAACTGTAAATGTAATAAGTTTAGCACAGATTAGTTTTATATTTTCCTGCCTCTGCTCTTCTTCCTGATTTAGGATTGAGGTAAGTAGGCTGGGGTCGAAATTGGACATGGCAAAGATATGTGAAAAACAGGTTTTTTGAGTGTTCATAGCAAATTCCAGTGAGAAAAATCTTTGTCTGCTATCCCAGGGCAGTGGCAGCTTCACCAGGTAGCTGCTGAGCACTTTGTTCTGTGCAGTGTTAGTGATCCCTTACAAGACTCAGGATGAAATCCTGGCAGGATTGAACTCAAGGGCACTTTCAGCCCTAATGTCAGTGGGGTCAATATTCTGCTCACAGTGCACAAAACTTCATCAATCTGCAGTTTGTTTCTGTTTGGGCCCCCACTGGTAACAGCTGAACCAGGAGGTGGGAATTCCTGGTGTCAACAAGATTAAAGGAGATGTCAGTAGTGTTGGACAAAAACCTTTGGACCAACCCAAAGAAACGCTTTCACAGAGTATCCCACTGAAAAAAACCAATTGGGTTGTCAACTAGGTACCCTAAAAAAGCATTTTGTCCCCCTAATACTGAGTATTTCTCTCTTTCCTGGCAACAGCAAACCCTGCTTCTGGCTGGGTGTAGATTTTTGTGTGTACTGCAGTTGTTGGCTGCTTATTTCATCCAAAATGCATTTCCTTTGTTATGAAAAGAACATTATCTGTCATTTACAGTTGGCTTTGCTTTCAAAATGTCTTATTTGGTTGTTCTGAGGCCCGGCGTGGTGGCCCGAGAGTAATTGATGGGAATTGTTGGACACAGTTCATGTGAGGAAGGGAAGGGTTGGCATTTACAGACTCACTGGAACTAAATTATAGACAAGATGTCTGATTAACTTCTGGGAAAGATTAATCAACTCAGCTATCTCCTTAGCACATGTCTAAGCAATAACTTATGGGTTATTAACTTCTTAAAAGCTTTTATGCGCTCAGGTAACACAGCAACAAAAGAGCAGCTTAAATGATGGTATTACAGGCAGGGAAGTTTATTTTTGTTTCAGCAACATGAGTAAAAATACCTGGGATGGCCAGAATAAAGGTTTCAATTGCATTACAGGAAGCTTAGTCATAAATATAAACACCCAAAATCTGTGTGGTTTTCTTCTCCTCTGCCCCGAGCCAAAGGAGGGTTTTTTGGTGACTGAAACTGGTGGTGGAACTTGAAAATGGGTTTGCCTTCATCCTGCTCCATTTCCTGCCAGTTCCCATCAACTGACACCAGCAGAATTCCTGGAGTTTTCCAGAATTCATGGAGTTTTCAGTGGCCAGGACAGACCCCTTGGTTGATGCATCCAGTTTTTGCTGCAAATGGCATTTTTTTGCAGGATCAAAATCCCCACAGCCTCCAGGATCAGACACTTTATTAATGTAGCTTTATCCTGTAACATTTCATTTTAATTCCTGGGTTCTCTCTGCATCATAAAAAGGGGCACATGTAATATTTGGGCAGACAGATAAAACTACTCATCAATCATGAATGATTTTCCTCCACGACAATGAATGAGCACCATCCATACAAATTCCCAGCGTTCCCTTATGTTCCCTCATTTCAGAAAGGGCCTGTGTTTAAAAGATGAGCTCTCAGACCTGCAGTGAGTGCACACAGACCCCATCCCTTTCCCTCTACTACAAACTCCTCTGAAGGCTGGAGGGTCCAGGAGGTGCTGGGATGTGATTTGCAGAGCTTCCTGTTGCAGGAATGCAATTCTCCTGCCATGTTTCTGCTTATTCAATGTGATTGTCCAATCCTACCAATTTCCCCTGAAGATGACATGAGGTTAAATGTGGTGAGAAAGCTGGAAATGGAAAGAAAACACCAGGATACCAGGAGTCCTGGCTGGTTAAAGCTGAAGAACCAAATGGCTTTGAAAATGTACATTTATGCTGCAGGCTGAAAACCTTTCCCAGCCTTGCTGAGTTGTATAGATTGTTGATGATAAAAGCTAAATCTGGAGAGATTTTGAAATGCTGACCCTAACAATCCATTAGTGCTATCAGGTCATCCTTCATAATACTCCCCCATCTAGAATGACTTGGCTGCAAAGTGTTTTGCATCCTTGTGTGCCTTACAGGGTAATCCAGGAATATGATTGAATTAACAAAAACAAGTTGGTTCAAGTGGGTTTTCTTCCAATCCAAAGAACAAATGCCCGTGCCTGTATTATTTATCTTTATAATTCAAGGCTTTGTGCACACAGGATTTCTTCCCCACCAGTTTGTAAAGTCAAGAAAGCTGCTGTTGCTGCACTGCCAGCCCTGACATGTCCCTGGGCAGTGCAGTGCTCAGCCAGGCACGAGCTCATCCCAATCCATGCTTGGGGGAAGGGAATGCTTAACCCCATTTGTTTTTTACCCCACAGGGACCCCGAGGACTGTTGGGACCGAAGGGGCCACCAGGACCCCCGGGGCCACCGGTGAGTTCCCGGGGCTGCTGCCCTGCCTGAGCCTTGCAGACAAAAAACCCCCCATCCCCATCAGTCATTCAGGCAGATTTTCTACATCTGTGCAATGAAAAGCAGTGGTATTTCACAAAAAAAAAAAAAGGCAGAAAAGATGGCTCAAAGTCTCTATTCTCCCCCATTTTCAGTGGTGTCACGTCCATTTAGGGCAGCTGAAGATTTGGCCCACCTGAGTAAATATTAATGCCTCGCTCAGGCTGAGAGGGAAGAATGGGAGTTATTAACACAGTGGCTTTGCTATTAACTTTTGCCTGAGGGCTGGTGAGGCTCTAAAGCAGTTTGTTCATATTTTGGGCAAAAGCTGAGGAAGGAGCACGTTGGTTTATATTCAGGAGACAGTCACCTTATCCCTGGAAGTGCTGATGCAGGGGTTGTCTCCCTAAATCACTGCTGCCTGCTGGAGTCCCACAGCTTAAAAACCCAAACCCTGCTAGAGCTGAAGGGGTCAGTGTTTAATGGGGAGCGTTGTGAAGCCCTTAGCCCCTCCTGGGATGTGGAGACATCTTTGCTGGGAGCTCCCAGACCTGCTGAAATTTAATGAGGAGAAATTTAATGCAGGATTTGCTCCAAAACCGTCTCACCTCCCACAAACGTGATGTTTTACCCAGATACCTTGTGCTGCTCCACAGCAAAAGATTAGCCTGGAGAACAGGGGGCTCAGGGAGAGCTTCTTCTCTCTTCTCCGCCTGAAAGGAGTAGTGGGGTGGGTGTCAGCCTCTTCTCCCAGGTAACAAAATGAGAGGAAATGGTCCCAAGTGGCACCAGGGGAGGTTTGGATTGGTTATTAGGAAAAATGTCTTCATGGAACAGGTTGCCAAGCACTGGAATGGGCTGCCCAGGGAAGTGGTGGAGTCACCATCCCTGTAAATGTTCAAAAAACACGTGGATGTGGCACTTGGGCACATGATTTAATGGTGACCGACGTGGTGGTGGTGGGTTGATGGTTGGACTCGATGATCTTCGAGGTTTTTTCCAACCTTAACAATCCCATGACTATAAAGCAGTGACAGGGGGACATCTCCAGCTGACCATGTACCACATTATCCCCTCAGTGACGATGCTCAGGGCAAGTTTGACCCCAGTTGCCTTTTGTTTTGGCTCAAGGCAGCTCAGCCCTGTTGCCTTTACCTGCTGCCTGGTTGAATGATGCCTTGCATCCCAAGGTGTTTTTTCCTGTTTTCCTTTGCTGCTCTGTGCCTCCTCACTGTCAGAGGCAATCCAGCTGTGGTATTTAGCCAGGATTTGCTCGACCTGGTGCTGATTCTGCCTCCCAGGCAGGTTAAACCAGTGGGGAAAGCACTGAAATGATTTTTTAAAGTGTAAACTGGATCCATGGAATTGACTGCTGTAACAAACACCTTTAAAAAATTGTTCCCTTTCCACGTGGCCCAAAGGGCCTCCCGATGTTTTGCTGTTTTTTATGGCAATTTCCCTACTTTTCTGGTGCAAAATAATGGGAAATTTTCTTACTGCTGTTTTTATAAATCCTTTCTCAGGGTGTGGCTGGTATGGATGGACAAACAGGTCCCAAAGGGAATGTGGTAAGTTCTCACTGCAAATTTTTACAGGCAGCTCAGATATACAGAGCAAAATGTAAAATGTACTCTATTAGATTAGATTTGCTAATTGCTTTTTAGCCTGGTCTAGATTCCTATCAGAGCCTGTGAAAAACACGGAGAATATCTTCCTACAGCAAATGGATGTTAATTTATTGTAATTTCTGATGGAATTACACATTATTTCCCCATGAAAGATGAAACATTTTCATCGAGATGTGTGTTGGTCTAATGAATATCAAAATACAGTAATTTAACTGAGAGGAAAAAAGTCTTTCTATGCCTTATACTCTGCACGGAGCGGATGGAATGGATTCCCTGGAGAAGAGCTGATGCAGAGCCAGGTAGTGTCAAAGCTTTGCTCAGCTCATTTGGGCTGCAAATCCCTGCGGAGAAATGAGTGTGCCTGGAAGTAACTTCTCCCCTCCCCATCCCACTGGGAGAGGAGCTGTTTCCAGGAGCTTTTGGTTGCTGGTAGAAGGTTAGAGAGGGTTCGAGCTGCTGTGAGGGTGTGGATCTGGGAACTCAGGTCTATCCAGGCAGTGGGAACACAGGGACAGGGTTGGGGGGATCCAGGTGTCCGTGCAGGGCCTGAGGACACACTGGCCCTGCTCCCGCCTTTCCTACCTTTATCTCTGCTCTTGTCTCTCCTCACAGGGTCCTCAAGGTGAGCCAGGTCCCCCAGGACAGCAGGGTAACCCAGGTGCTCAGGTAAGAGCAAAACTCCTTTTCCACAGGTAGGAAAAAGGAATGATAATTTAGCACAACTTCGCTTCCCTGCCAGGGATGGGACCACCAACATGGAGATCTGCTGGGAATTGGCTTGATAATACATTGCTGGTCCAAAACCTTCCTGAAAATGCTCCCAGTTTCAGATCCCCCCAGTTCTCACCTGGCTTTTGCTGCGTGTTGCAAAGCCAAGCCCAGGTCTGAGCCGTCTCTTTGGCTGAGTCACATCTCGTGGCTGATTTTTAGCATCCCACAGTCCAGTTGCTCTGCAGCCAGCTGGGTAATACAGATGTCCAGGCCTTGCTGACAGCCTCCTCCACGGCTCTCAGAGAGTTTTGCTCCTCAGAGCAGCTCTGTTTCCACCCTGCTGCCCATGACCAGGTGGAGCAGCTCCCCCAGCTCTGCGGAGGAGCCACACTGTGCTAAAAGGCAATTTCATCGTCCCTCACAAGACGTTTTGAGAATGAATGGAGCTGGGGAAACCCCCAGCCATCACAGGCACTAGAATAATGCTCAGCTGAGACACTGCCAAGATGCATTGGGAAGGAATAACTTGTTCCTTAATGACTCTATATTTTTTTTTTCTTTTGCTTTTCACAGGGTCTTCCAGGTCCACAAGGCGCGATCGGTCCCCCAGGAGAGAAAGTAGGTTTCAATATTGCAGCTCTGGCCTCAGACAACTGTTGCCATTGATATGCATTTGCTCCCTCAGCTGCTCCTCTGCCCCATATGCAACATCTGTTTGCAGCTGTGTCCATGGAAGTCTAATGCCTCTCATTCCAGACAGAGGAGAGATCAAGACAGCACGGTTTACCTCGAATTCATAATATTTGCATTCATTTCCCCTCCGAGGAGAAACATTTTGAAGGCAGTAAAACATTAGGAGAGGATTGAAAATTGCCTTTTTCTGTGGGCTGAATGAATGGTAATGGGAAGAGCCCATGGATGTGGCTCACTCAGCTGAGTTCCCCTCCCCCTGTCTCTCTAATTTTTGGTGGCTGTTGCCGTGGGGTGGGTGCTGGTCTTGGCTCCCCCAACAGCCCTGGGACCATCAGATTTAGAGAAGGGGAAGTTTTGCCTACAGAGGGGTCATTCTCCAGGGCTTTGCTCAGCTCTCACTGAACAAGGACACAGTGTGTGTCCTGGTGTGTGCACTGGGAGAAGCCTCTGCTTGTGTGGAGTGGACTCAAGTTATCGATAATTCCCCTGCAAAGGAGCACATTAAAGTTCTGTCAGATAAGTGGCACTTCCCAGTGGAGTAAGAAATCAGGGGCTGCTTAATTAAAAGGTACTCACTGAGCAGTGTTAGAGCAGCAAGTGCAGTCAGCTGGAGCAGCTCCTTTCCTCCTTAATCACCTCGAGATTTGTCACCAAAAAATGGGCATTTCTTGACCCTATGACTCCACAGTTCAACATCCTCCACCTTGTCCTTGTGTCCCTGTGCAGCATCGTGTCCCTTTAGCAGGACACAGGTGGTGCCCCATGCCCTGAGCTCTCAGTGCTGCGTGTGTGAGGTGCCAGCACAGACCCTGCAGCCCCTCAGGGTGCTGGAACAGCTCTGCCCACAGAAATCAACAGGCTCCCTACAAGTCATGGAAGCTTTTCCACCAGACTCGTGCCTGTGCAGCCTTTCACAGACAGGAAAATCAAGAAATGTGGCTGAAAAACCCTGTCCTCTGATGCCCTGGAGACTCTGACCACTGAACTGTTGGCTTTCTTTGTTTTCAGGGGCCGCTGGGCAAACCTGGTCTCCCTGGCATGCCTGGGGCAGATGGGCCCCCGGTAAGTCACCCTTTCCTAATTCCCTGCTTGGCACTGGGTTGGATTCTGCCCCATCCACCCTTGGGCTTGTGAATTCATGAGCCCACGTCGTGGTTTAACCTCAGCCAGCAACCAAACCCCACAGAGCCGTTCCTTCACTGCCCCACCAGTGGGATCAGGGAGAGAATGGGAAGGGTAAAAGCTGGAAAACTCATGGGTTGAGATAAAAACAGTTTAATATGGAATCAAACAGCACAGCCCACAAGGTCATGCTCACTCTTGCCCGTGTGTTGGCTGGTTTGGGAAGCCCCATCCCTGCTCCCAGCTTTGCTCACCCTGGGTGCTTCTCACCAACTCCTCGGGCCTCTCTTTCCCTTCCACCTGTTTCTCCTTTCAGCTCTCCAAACTTTGGCAGCTCCCTGAGGCAGGGACAGGTCTCTCTGTGTGTTTATGCACACCACAGCACGTGCCTGGGGTGCTCCTCACCTCTCTCGGGGCTGCCAGGCACGGCTGCACAGCGGTGATAAGAGCAGGGGGAAATTACATGTCACTGCTCTATTCTTGCACCTTCCTCCTGTAATCCTGCTTTAAACATAATTTGCTCCTTGCTCCAGAAATCGATCTTAAAAATCTCTGGCCTTTAAACCTGAGCTCATTTTTTACCCATCTCAGTGGCACCTGGTTTTAAGAGTGAAAAATGTAAAGCGGTCGCATTCTATTAATGCAAATGCAGAGTACGGCAAAAAAAAAGAAAAATAAAAAAAAAATTACATTTCCCACCCTGGGATTATCATTCCTACCGAGGGCACTTGGAACATCCGTACAATTGTTAGCTGAGTCAACAGAGCAGCTAAAAGCAAAGCCCAGAACATCTCTAAATCTGTAGGTTTTGATGTGAAATTCCTGCTGCAGCCTCCAGGGAGGTTCTGCTGGAGAAGCCGCCGGGTCTATTTTTATGCAGCCTGGAGGCTGTGTGAGACCTGCAGGCTGAGCACGTGGTGGGGGTGGTGCGTGGACACGGGTCCTTTCCCACAGGTAGATGTGTGGATTTGTGTGGATTCCGAGGCTTTGGAAGCCTTTCCAAGGACAAAAACCCGCCTGTGTTCTATTTATAGAAAGCGGTGTTGGAAGACACCTGAAAACCCCCGAGGGCCTGACGTGTCTCTCTCTGCGAAAGCCAACTCAGCTGCTCATCAATTTTTGATCTCAGCAGCAGTAATGGAGATGGGCATTTTTTGAAAACGGTGGTGATTTAGTGCAGAGCTGGACCAAGGCTTTTGAAATCCTGCTGCACGTCCCTCGTGCCTCCCCTGGAGTGCAGGGACACACCTGGAGCTGAGGGCAGACGTGGTTCTGTGAGCCCCTTCGTGCACTGATGCTCTTGGTGCCATTTAAACTTACAGGAAAAATTAAGGTTGCTTTTTCTCCCACTTTTTTTTTTTTCTTTTTTGATCTAAAAATGACAGCTGTCGTTTGGTGTCTTTTTTAATCCAGCTTATTTTATAAAATGCAGCTCATCTGACATTCCCGTTCTGAATCTGATGATGGAAAACACTCTTAGAATTTTCTTTGTTATAGTGGTAGAAATTCACTAATGTATTTAAAGGAGAGAGTTCATAAATAAGGAATCTGTTGAGTGTAGAAGGTCTGAGTGGCTTTAGAGCAGCTGGATGTGTTTTCATCATCTTCATAAAATGAAGGTCTCTGGATATGAAGCCCTTTCAGGGGTTATTTCTGTTGTCCAGACATTGCCAACCCAAGAGTGACCTTCCATCCTGGCTCTATTTTGGATCCAACAGTAGGGAAATCAGTAAAAACTACTTTCGTGGATTTCCCTAATTTCTCACCAATCCTCCAAACTGTATCTGAGGCAATTCACACATTTGTTCTCTACTGCAAAAAGAATTCCAAAGGCTATTGATGAGAATGGGTTGGAAACTCTTGGATGTTGAGTTATTCAGCATCAAATCCCAAGAGGAATGCTGGCCAGCATCCAGCCTGCCTCTGTCTAGCAGGGATGCAGGTTAGCTGAGCATTTGTCATGAGATCTTGTACTGGACTCCAGGAATTAGGAATTTAATGAAGGGCTCTGACCACTCTGGGCATCTTGTGACCTTCACAAGTTTGCTGACACATGGACTTGATTTTATCTGTTTTTCTATCTGCAAAATTCAAACGCTGCTGAACTCACCAAGCTGTTCAAATATACAAAGAATATTGAAAAAAATGGTTTGTGCTTCTCTGCTGAGAGGTGGTGAAGACCAAAAATAGAAATAACCAGGTAGGAAACCCCCAAGGACCCAAATGCTGCTCTCTTCCTTTTGGGACAAGCTGACCCTTGCAAGGTGGTTTCAGGGGGGCCACTTTTCTCAGTAGGAGCTTCCTGGGGAGCAACTGTTCTCTGACAAATAAATCTCAGCTGCCAGAGCAGCTTTGTTGGCTTCTGAAGCTTGAGATGTGCACTAAACCCCCAAATCCTCTTCTCTTTGTCTCTTTTATTAACAGGGTCATCCTGGCAAGGAAGGTCCTCCTGGAGAGAAGGGCAGTCAGGTGGGTGCCCACAAGACCCTCATCTCTGCTAAGGGGGAGGTCCTGGACCTGCGTGGAGACAGATCTCCATGGAGCCTTGGGAATGGCTGGGCGGGCAGGGATGTGGGGCAGGGGAGGTTGTAAGAAGCAAACCTGGCTGAAATTTGAAAGCTGAGCCCAGATTTCATCTTGGCTTGCTTGCCTCTTCTGGTGCTTGGGCGGGTCTTCTCTCAGCTCCTCCCAGCTCTCCTGGCAGCGAGGCTCTGTAGCACAGTGGGCAGAAAAACTGACCCTGGGAAGGGAAACCTTCTCTTGACAGACACAAATAAATATCCTTTGTGGCACAGGGAATGCAAAAAATAGCTTTTTTTTTAATTATTACTATTTCCAGATCTCCCTTTTTCTTCCCCTCAAAGTCCCCCTTTAACAATATATTTGAGATTATTGCTGGAGGCCAGAGTCTGTCTGTCCAGGAGATTTACCATCTGCATTCCTGCTGCCTCCCATTCAGTCAAAAAAAATTATATTTGTCAAAAGTCTTTGATTAGAGCTCTGGCTTGATGGACACTTGAGAGTGCTGGTGCTGCCGGAACAAAACCCACACCCATTTATCCACCTGGTGTCACACAAGGCTGAAAATTCCAACCTCTGCAGAGCACAGGAAGCCAATAAATGGTTGTGGTGGTGATCCCTGTGCTGGAAGACATCGAGCAAATGTCAGAGAGGTGGTTTTGGAGCAGCACTGGTGCTGCAGGGCCTTCCAGGCAGCATTCATGCGAGGTCTGGGATGCTGGAGAGCACGTTGGCTTCATCAGGCTGGAAAAAATGGTCTGTCTCAGGCTGGGAGAAGTGGAAGAGTGTTTGTTTAGAGAAGAAATTGGGTAAAACAACAGCCAACTGGGGTCAATAGAGAACCTGAATTATTTGCAGGTGTGAGGGTGGGAAGGAGTTTTTGCAGGATGTGTATCAGTGTCCAGCACAGCCTGTGGTGCCCTTGAGGATTTGAAGTTCTCAGTGCCAGAAGGGAGCTTTGGAGCATCTCCTCTCCCACGTGGCTGAGGCCAAAGGACATCACCCCCAGGCTTGTGCCTCAAGCAGTAACTCCTCTCTGTGATCATCATCGTGGGTTCTGCTGTGTTACTGCCAGCCAGGATGGTTGGGAAGTGGGGACACAGCAGAACATGTTCCTGCTCTCTTGAGAACTGGTTCTTTTCTTTGATCCAAAACACAGATTGTCAGCCTTGTGTATAAATCCCCTATCAAACAAGTTGTTGCTATCCTGACTCCTCTCATCCTCCTTTTCCTGTTGGATGAATCTTTGCCATCAGCTTTGCCCAGCACCTGCTCGGGGAGCTGCTGGTGCACCTCTCAGAACTATTTTGGGCTATTTTCAGGTGGCCACTGCCATTCCTGCCCGGTCTGAAGCAGCCAGATGGCTGGAAATTTGTTTTCCATGCACTCTCCTTGTCACTGCACCTTTGTTTTGATTTTGACACATTTACCTTTTTGCATTTTGTTCTCCCCAGGGTCCCCCAGGCCCTCAGGGCCCCATCGGTTACCCGGGACCACGCGGAGTCAAGGTAAGGAGGGCACAGGAACAGTGTCCATGGCATTGCTTTTCCAGCTGTTGCTGGAGGTGGACAGATGTCCTACCAGGGCTCTTAGGGCCACCTCAGTGACCAACAGCATTTATTGCTCGAGCAAGTCTTGGTCCAGCATCTTCTCCCATCCACAAGGATTCCAAATTCCCTGCTCCCCAACAACCACTCCTGGTGTTGTTCAGTGCCTTGGAGAGATTCCTCTTGTAATTCCCAGTGAGAATGGCTCGCTCCCATTCCCATTGTTTCCAGTTTACAACCAAAACTAAAGCTCAGCCAGAATGTGAAGATTTTAACAAGGCTTGTTAATAAAACAAACCAGCCCATTGCTAAAACAAAACAAGCTTTTCATGCTCCTCATCCAAAGCCTTGTTAGATGGAGTTTGTGCATCTCAGCAATGAGCTCTGTCACTAGATTGAATTCCAGCTTTTCCTTGCTCCTGCTGCCTGCAGCCCTGCATGCTGATGACAAGGCAGTGGGGTTTTTTCCCCCGTTCAGCTCTGGCTGTTGTACCCATCAAGATGTATTAGTTCAGGTGCAGATGCATCCTGCATCCCAAAGGGCCAATGAATCTGCAGGGTTCTGCACTAGCAGGTACAAACACAGCTTGGGGACTGACTACGGGTGAAGTTAAACCCTCTTAAAGCCCCTTTTTTCTCAATAGCAGAAACCCATTTGCTGTTCTGCCTTCAAAATTTAAGCGGGATGTATTTAACCAAAGCAAACTTCCATCTCATTTCTTGCAAGGTTGCAGATTGAGACATAGTGGTCCATTAGGGAATGGTTTGCTGTGGTGTTTACCACTGAAGTGGAACAGTTCCACATTACAGTGAGCTGCAGAAAGTGTGTCATGCACCAAACCCTACAGACAAGGTTTGGCTTCCTACAGGCGGAGTTCTATTAACTGCACGAGCCTCCAGCTTGCAAAAAAATGTTTGGGTTTGTAGCTATAAATAACTTTTAGACCTTGCCTTGCTCACCAGAACCCTGTTCTGTGGCACAGACTTGATGTACTTCTAATTATATTTTTTTGTGACATGTTAAAGGGAAGAAAAAAATTAAAACACCCCAAGCAAATTATTCCTCAAAAAAACCCCAAAACTCTAAGATGCTTCCTGGTGACCCAAAAGCCAGAGGTCAGCAGCTGATATTTAATCAGCAATATGTTTAGGAACATAACAGTTTGTAGAAATCCCGTTGTCCACATCAGAGAAAGCAAAAATCACCATAATTAACAGTGATTTTTAGTTTCTTCACTCTGAACTGTACTGAATTGTAACATCTTGTTTTATCTCCTGCAAGGGAGCAGATGGAGTTCGTGGATTGAAAGGCACCAAAGGTGAAAAGGTGAGTTAATGCTGCACATTTGGGTTGAATTTCTAAAGCCTCTGAGCATTGTTGCAGATGGGTCCCACAGGATGCTCCCTGGGACATTTTCTCCTGCACAAGGGGTTTCTCTTGGACAAGAAGTGGGACTGAGCACCCAAAGGACCCATAACCTCTTTGTCTGTGGACTGGGTGCAGGATGGACAGCCCAGAATCCAATGTTGGGATGATTTCCTCCTGACAAGATTTGTAACTGGAGTGATTCCATGGAACCTGAAGGGTTTGTGAGTGTTACAGCTGGATAAGAGTGCACAGGATGTGCTGCCTGGGACCCAAATCAATGAGAGAGTCAACACAGTGTATCCCTGCATGTCCCAAAGACGCAGCTGGTTTCTCCCAGAGGAAGAGCAGGAGGTGGAGAAAAGTCTTGCTCAGTCCCTTAAGCAGATCCCTGTTCCTTCATCTGTGCCCCCCCAGCAATTCAGCAGCAAATCCAGCAGTTTTAGCAAGAGAATCCTTGCAGGGACCTTCCAAACTCTAAAAGTCTTTCTGGGAACTGTGTCTTCATTGCCTATCAGGGATTAGCTGTAGGATGAGATACATTATTGATTGGAGCTCTGCAATTAAATCTTCTTGGCTGAAAGAAATACTGCCACTGTCCTAGAGGCTGCCTGGGAGCCTGGTGTAAAACATCCTCCATAAAAAGAAAACCAGTTGTACTCCAGAAATAATTGGTTCCCAGTACTGCCAAGGTGGTGTTACTCACATCAGGCCAGATTTGTGTTCTTGGCTTGCAGCCAGGATGGGATGCAGGGAACACTTGTTGGGATCCCCTGGGATCAGCCACAGCCTGGCTGGGTTTCCATGCCTGTTTGTTCACACCAAAGAACTTAGAGGAGCCAAAGTGATGGGCAGTGTGGGGACCTCATCTTGCCCTCTCTGAGCAGTGACTCTTGAGAAGTTTTTTTGCTTTTTTTTTTCCCCCTTTTATACACCTTGTCTGATTTTTTTCCCCCCTTCTCCATTATTTAGGGTGAAGATGGCTTCCCTGGCTTCAAAGGTGATATGGGCATCAAAGGAGACCGGGTAAGAATCTGTGACTGATGGGATCTTGTTGTGCTTTGCTTTTCAAACCTGTGTGTTACTGTTCAAATGCAGTTCAGGGGGAGCAGCCAGGGAGGCTCTTGTCAGAGCCCTTTTGGCACGTCCAATCTTGAGTCAGGAGTGCAGGAATTTCGTGTTCACCTCGAGCACAGCAGTTGTGAAGCCCTGAATTTTCTAATCTCACCTTGAAGGTATAAGAAACCTGAGTGGTAATAGAGAGCCCTGTCTTGCTGCTTTGACTGCAAGGAATGCTGTGTAATCCAGCTGTATCACATGTTTATTTTCAGTATCTCTTTTCCCCCATAAAATTCCATGCAGGGCTTGGTAGGCATCTTTATTTGCTGTGCCCAAGATGCTTCCATACCATCAGTGGGAAGTATAAAATCACCAGGAACAGACTTGATTAAAACCAGGGCAGTGCTGTGGAAACTGCCAAGGGTGGAATGTTCTGTGGGACTTGATCTTCACACCAACAGGATTCCCAAATCCCCCTTGGATGCAGGCAGTGGCTGCAGCACTTGGCTTTACAGCACTTCTGTCCATCCTCTGTGCCCAGTCCTTGGGGACAGGGGTCTGTCCTGTCCCCTCACTAAGTGATGTAATGCCTGGGACTTGAGAGTTCCAGGGATCCAGAGAGCTCTGCCATCATTTGTTGCCATGTTTAAAAGGGAAAATGAATGTCTTGTGTGAAGGCTTGTAAAAGTAGACATCAAATCCTCCATTTTTCCCTGGTGTTTAAATGAGCATTTCAATCAAAAGCTTCCTCAGCCCCCACTTCTTGCCAAGGACTGAAGGTGGCACCTCAGGGAGGCGACTCTTGTCCTCACCATAAGCACAAGGTCTTTCAACCAAAACTCAGCCTCCAGTTCCTGCCATCGAGCTCTTTGTGCTCCACGATGAGCAGTGAAAGGACAAGGGATACTCAAGAGCCTCATGGATAAATCTGTGTCCACCAGCTCCTGGTGAGAGAGGAGAAGGCTGCCTGTGTTCCCAGCATGGAGGTATCTCCTGTCACCCTGAGTGACAAAGTGACAACTGCTGTCCTGTGAGCCGGAGCTGGCAGTGTCACAGTCCCTGTTAACAGCTCAGTCCTCTCCACTCTCCAATTTCATAATGATTTTCAGCACAAAAGCTCCAGTCCTCTCTTTATTCTCCAGTTGCCTGGTTCAGCCCTCAATTAAACACTTCCCAGGGCTTGCTTGCACATCAAACCACAGTCTGGGGAAGCGGGAGGAGGGTTAAAGGGCGTGTTGCAATCAGAGCTAATGAAGGCTCCTTCTGTGGAGAGATTCTGTGTGTGGATGCTGCGGGAAAAGATGGATGTTTTGTAGGAGATGGTGGCCAGGCTGTGGGACTAAAAGTGTGGTGGTAACACCCCACACTTTACAGTCTTGCCTGAGCCTCCTGGTGGAGAGCAGCTTTCTCCAGGAGTTGTTCTGGGAGCTCCAAGGGGGATCTGATGGCAGCTGTGAGGGTGTTGCTGGCAGCAAACACGGGGGCTGGGACCCTCCTGCCTCATCAATGCTTGTCTTCTGATTAACAGGGGGAAATTGGACCTCCTGGCCCCCGGGGTGAGGATGGTCCCGAGGGTCCCAAAGGTCGCTCTGGCCCCAATGGAGATCCGGGTCCTCTTGGTCCTGCTGGAGAGAAGGTGAGTCTCAAGGAGCGAATGGTCCAGGGATGTTTTAACTAAAACCCACCTTTATTTGGGTGTGTTGGGTGGATGGCCAGAGCAGTGCCCAGCGTGGGGGGCACAGTTTTAGGGCAGGGGGATGAAGAGGAACTGAAGGAGCTTTGTGTGAAGGGAGGCCTGAGTTGTTCAAGAGAAGACCCCAGGGAGGTGGTTTTAGTGCAGCAGCACGACTTGAGTGTGTTGACACGTGGTCTTTTTGGGATTATCTGCTTGGGCACAATGTCTTGGGGGAAAAAATAGAGTAAAAAGTAGAGAAATTGGAAGTATCACAGACTCCTGTCTAATTTCTGTGTTCACCCTGTTGAAAAAAAAATAGGTATAAAACAGCAACCATTCCCAAGAAGTCCCCAGCACATTTACAGTGCTCACTCTGTACCACCCCCCGGGTGTCTCTCAGGGAGGGCAGAGGATGATCCCAGTGCCCCAAGAGCTTTATTCCACCCACATCTCATCTGCTTTGCTCTTGACTTCTCCGCACTTGGCTTCTCCCCTTTCTGCTGGTGCGGATCTGAAGCTGCTCCCGAGGTCTCTTGCCCAAGATAACACACTTTTATTTGTGTTCCAGGGAAAACTCGGTGTGCCAGGACTGCCTGGGTACCCGGGCAGGCAGGGCCCAAAGGTAACTGGGTTGAGGGGGGTCTCTGGGAGGGGTGGGGTGTCCTGGGGAGCCCGGTGACACAGCCAAGCCCTGGCAGTGCAGCCGTGCAGAAGGCTCAGCCCCCCCACTCGTGGGATGAGGTCCCTCCTTCCCACCCAGGCAGGACAAAAATATAGATGGGTAAAAATAGCTCCCAGCCCTTGGCTGGTGGAATTCAGGGACTGGTTCTGCATGGCCTTAGTCTCCTAAAGTGGTGGGAAGAGATGGAGAGGGATGGGGCGTGCACGACTGCTTTGGTGATGGATGCAAACAGGCTCCTTGTGAGCCTTCGTGCTGGGACTAGGCATAATACTCCTTCCCCTTGTATTATGTTTTATATCTTCCAAGATCTGTGCTAATGTCATCTAATTAATTAAGAATTAGAATGAATAATGAATCAGGGCCTCCCTGAAATGAAAATAAAACTGCCATTTTGCAGATTTGCAAACATCCTTTGTAGCTTATCCACACTCCCACCTTCATCTGGGCCATTTTCAAGTCATTTTTTAAATTGAAACTGTGAATTCCACTGCACAGATGAAGCCTACAGCCCAATTTTTACATGCCCTGGAGGCTTTGGGAACTTACGTTTTTGTTAACTTTTTTTTTAAGAATCATATTTTATTATTCATGCTCATTGCTTAAAAAAAAACCCCCACAACAAAACTGGCTTGTTTAATTCTGGAGACATAATTATCTGCAAGAGATTGTTTCTTCAGTTTTGTGGTTGTGGCGCTGACGGTTTATTTTTTAATTTGCATTTTATATGTCGGGGTAGAGGTTGGGAGTTTTTTTTTGCATTTCTTCGACTAATTCATATTTTAAAAGCGGCAGCAGCTACTCTCCAGGCACTCACATCAGAAAGGAACAAGCCAGGAGTTAAATTTTCATGTGTAACGTGGTGACTTAGGAGCTAAAATCCAAATTCCCGCCTGTTCCCCGGGCGCCCGCCACAACCGTGGGCTTGGTCTTTGCAGTGACTGCTAATGAGGCACGGACCTTCCTGTTGTTGTTGTTATTTCTGGATGAAATTCTGTTTCTGAGGTCATTTCAGGTCTGTCTGTGCTTGTGTTGTTTCTAAGGTTTAAGAAACGAGGGCTGGGAGCTGTGGATGTTGGCGGGTCATCCCGGGCTGGGGTGGACGGGCTGAGCTGCCCCTTTGGGCATCCAGAACCTCTTACTCTCTCTTTGCTCTTCCCCCAAAGGGCTCAATCGGCTTCCCAGGATTTCCAGGAGCCAACGGAGAGAAGGGCACACGGGTAAGAGCTGCTCTGTCTGGCTGCTTTGCTGATTTAATTCCCTCCCAAGCTCCCGGGGCAGGACACAGGGATCAACTCTTTGGCTTTTGCCCGAAGAGTCTCATCCCAGGACGAGATTCCCAGCACAGGACCAGTGAGAGGCTCCCAGTGCTGGCTGCTGGGAGAGGAGGATGCTGGGGATGGCACAGTCAGCTCTGCAGCTTTCCAATTAAACCCTGGAAATTTCCCCCTCTGGATATTTTAAGAGACTTCTTTGAACCTGAATCCTTCCCGCGCTGTCAGACTTCGCTCAGGGCACGAAGAGCTTTTTAATTAACAGTAATTATTAGAGATGGGTGAATCTGCTCAGAACCAGCAAGAACCATCGTTAACTTAACTGGAAATTCAAAATGCATAGCTGAAAATCCATACAAATTCCTCCTTTTAATAAGCTCTTCAAAATTCATAGACACCCTTTAAAGTGTGGGGGCTCCACCCCCCAGACTTGTCTCTACCTCTCACCCACCTCCACAGACTTTGCTCTGAATAGGGATTGTCTAAATATACAGATTTATTTTTTATCTTGTGAAAAACACGCTTGAATTAAGGGATTCAGAGTACAAACAAAGTCATTTTCTGCACCAGCTCTGGTCACAGTGACAAGAAGGGGGAGTGAGGATAGCAAGTGGAATTAGTTTCCTTTTTGCTCTCATTTAAATACAAATGACTTCTAACAGACGGGTTTGAGAGGAGCCCAGAAAATATAAATCACTTTGCACTGCATTAATATCATGCCACTGAAATTTGGTTTATATCCACCCCCCTCCCTTTTTTTTTTTTTTTTTTATTCCACTGAGTAATTTCATTTCATTCTGAGCTACAAATGCACATCCTCATCCCTCCCTCCGCTCTGGCCTGGCAGGAGGAGGGAGCCCATGAATAAAGCAGCTGCCACCATGGCCTTGAATTCACTGTAGCCCTGTAATTACCACCCATCTTATCAAATATACAGCAATAAAATCCTTGGGCTGGGGGTTTGGGTGGTGTAAAACCAGCAGGGAGGAGATGGGAGATGTGCTACTTTGCATCCCTGAGCATCCACATCCCTCCACATCCCTCGGCTGATTTTGTCCTGGTGCGATGGGAAACCTTTCAGGTACCAGGAGTTGGTGGTTTACGAGTTTGGAACAAGCCCCAGGGGTCAGGCTGGTTGAATTTTGGCATTATCCAGCCTGAAAGTGATGGAGAATGGAGCAGGTGTGAGGGAAAAGGGCCCAACTTCAGAACCAAGCAATAATAAGAGAAAAAAAGGCAAAAAATCAGCTCATTTTTAGTCTAAATGAGCTTGGTGCCTTTAATGAAGGTAGTGAGGACCCTTAGTTACACCCCTTGAAAGGCCAACATTTCTTCAGGAATTAAAAAGAGTTTTCTTACATTTCAAATGTTGGTTTGCTCCGTGGTGATTTTAATTTTTTTTAAATTTTTTTTAATATATTTTATTTTCAATGTGTGACTGGACCATTTCTGCCATTTTACACCCGATCCAGGAGCCTGCCCTGGTTTGATCTGTGTGCTTGTATGTGTGTATGAGAGAGAAGATTTTCAGGGACAAATCTTTCCTTCAGTAAAAGGAGCCCAGCTTGAATATTTTTCTAATAGCAAAAACACTGATTTTCAGTAACAGTTTTGGTATCTGTATTGTTGTTTATTTTTTTTTCTCCCAAGTATCCCCTTTGAAATAAGAGAAAAGAAATTATATACAGAATTATAGGCTGAGCTGGGATCACACTGCTCCAGTCCAAATGGAGACCATCATCTTAATTTAAGCCCCGTTGAGTTAGACTTGATAAATCCCCCTCTGTTTCTCTTAAGACCACTAAATCTGCTGGTTTTATAAGTATGTTCACACAGAGTCAAGAAAGAGAATTTCTAAGATTTGCTTCTCCAGTGCCTTGTGGAATAACCCAATTTGCAGCTGAAACAACTCCAAATCATTTATTTGTCTTTTCTTTAACATGGTATTACAATTACACTGCTCAACGTGGTTTATGTGTCCAAAATAACGTGAATCACTCGTTTCTCTTACAAAATGGAAATAAGCTTTGCAGCTTGTTATTTCAGCAACACAAACAGTCTTCCCAAGACCTTAAATAATTTAGAAAAAAAGGTGAAAATCCGAGGCAGAAGGATTTTCCACACCAGCACAGGCAGCTGAATTTTGGTGTTGCAGTGCTGAACCCCTCCCCAGACCTGAAACCTCAACTTCTGGCTGTTCAGCTGTGCACAAAAAGGGCTGGAAAAATTAAAAATGGGAAGGGAAAAAAAAGATGGAGATGATTAGAGGGATGGAGCACCTCTCCTATGAGGAAAGGCTGAGGGAATCGGGATTGTTCAGGCTGGAAAAGAGAAGTTTTGGGGTGACCTAACTGGGGCCTCCCGGTACCTCAAGGACAAGAAAGATGGAGGGAGAGTATTTCCAAGGGTCTGGAGTGACAGGACAAGCAGGAGTAGCTTCAAACTGACAGAGGGAAGGTTTAGATGAGATATTAGGAAGAAATCCTTCCCTGTGAGGGTGGTGAGGCCCTGGCACAGGTTGCCCAGAGAAGCTGTGGCTGCCCCATCCCTGGAAGTGTCCAAGGCCAGGTTGGAGCAACCTGTTCTAGTGGAAGGTGTCCCTGCCCATGGCAGGGGGTGGAATGAGATTATCTTTAAGGTCCCTTCCAACCCAAACCATCCTGTGATTCTATTTTGGTGTTCTTGGAGAATTATGGCCCATTAAATACCCCAATAGTGTTGGCGAGCAGCTGCTCATCACCCTGCCTGTCCTCAGCCCCAGGTGAGCCCGGGGGAGCTCGCTCGGATATATCAAAAACCTGATCATAAAATCAATAGCTGGACGTGAATAAGTGATCTTATTTTTAGAGCTGATGGGCCTCTGCCATTAGCAGGGGGTAATAGATCTCCCTGCTCGCCCGCCCTGACAGAGCCTGGGGGGTGTGGAGGGGCCCAAATCCAACCATTTATTTGTGTGCCTAGAAAATAATCGGAATTTAGATGCCTTTATGTCAGAATCTCTGCTTGAAAAATATAGGTCTGTGTGCATTTACAGTGCTATATAAATTCTTTGCAACAGTACACGGGGCTGCATGCATGATTAACGACAGCAATGAGAAGGGGGAATTTTGCTTAAAAATAGAATTGAGGAAGAAGGAGAGGAGTGTGGGGGCTACCTGAGGGGAGGCAGCACACACTCCTCTCCACCTGCTCCAAATTTAGCCTCCCAGAGCTAAAAGAAAACCAGCTGGAGTACTTTAAAGTGATTTTTGTAATTAATTTTAAAAAGGTATGCCGGCAGGGTTTATTAAATGGAGCCGCAGAACAAGGAGGATTCAGCAGGACTAATTTTAGTAGCTTGAAGAAAGTTGATTGTAAAGTTTCCCAGCTCCTGTTTTATGTTCAGCTGGTTAATGAGTGCCAGATACGGGAAGGCAGGATAGGGAGATGATGGATTTGGGGCAGAAAATGGCAAGTGATATTTTAAGCATTCAGCATTCCTCACACAGGAATCAAATCTTCTTCATCCTTCCTTTAACAGGTGATTGGTACCATTAATGAGCTGCAGGTCCAAAGAGGGAAAGTTAAACCTCTCAGAACTTTTGGTTTTTTTTGGAGGCTTGACACTGGCCAAAATAATGTTTTCAGGCCATTAGTTTGCTTTGAGGCGCAGGGTAATGGAGCTTAATGTAGTGCCAGATTTAGGACCCTCTGTCTTTTCTCTGTCAGGATTAATCACAGTCACCCATCCTGGGGAGCTGAGTGCATCTGTCAGATCACATGAGCCTCCTGCTCCCGCTCTGCACAACAATCACTTGTTTAGCACAAGAGTTTGCAGCGACCAAGAAAGATTTGTAAATATGTAGGGCAGCTTAATTGGCTTGTGTGGCATAAAATAAACGCTCCGAGCAGGAATCCTGCTCTGCTGCTGTCAGTCCTTAAGTGTTGAGCAGCAACACGTGTGAGCAGCAGGATGAGGACCAGCCCTTCCCCCTGTCAGGAGCTGGGAGAAGGGATTAGCAGGGATCAGTGGGGAAAAAAAGGGATTATAGGTGTTGGGGTGGCAGAGTTGAATGGGTTTTTGCTGGTTGTGCCGTGAGTTTTTGGGATACTGTATGGAATGAGTGGGTGGCCTCGTCTTTGAAAGCTTTGGTGGTGTTTTAAAGGACTCAGAATACTGTTCCTTAGGAGAGTCATTCCCTCAGATAACAGATGTTGTCTGGGGACAGGGATTATTGTCCAGACCTGCCCAACCATTATAAATTAAAACAAATAGAGAAACAGAACATGAAAGTAAACCTGCTGTTGACTTTTTCATCACAAATGAGAACCAGAGAGGTTGTGAGGCACTTTGTAATGGGCTCTGTGATGGGATCATCTGCTGTGGTGCTGGTTGCTAACTCCTCTTCCTTTCTTTTCATTCCAGGGGACACCTGGCAAACCAGGTCCGAGGGGGCAGCGCGGTCCAACGGTAACGAGCCAATCTTGTGCTTTTGGAAAGCTTGTCATGGCCAAGGGAAACTGGGATCTGATTTGTGTCTTCACTGGGGGGTAGAATCTGGCCTTCAGCACTCACAGCTAAGCAGAGGGCCCACAGTGCTTTGGGGAACATGGTTTGAAGTCATCAGACCTCCAGTGGGAGTGATGATGGCTCCTGTCAGCCCTTGCTGCTGGTGGGATGACTTGTTGCCTGATCACAAGGTAGCTGTGGGTAGCAGAAAGGGCTAAAATGTCACCTTTTGTGTCTTTTTTAAGGGTCCACGTGGAGAAAGAGGCCCTAGGGGAAGCACTGGAAAACCTGGCCCAAAGGTAAGGTTTTGGGGAGCCTTCGGGGTCACATCCTAACAAGTGTTGTTATTGAGATTGTCTGGTTCATTGCCCTCCATTTCCCTCCTCTCCTTTCTCCATTGGATTTGAAAAGCTGAGCCCTTCTAAGCCTTATTCCCAGATCATAACCCAACTGTAAAATACATGCACAGGTTCTAAAAATGTGTTGGCCCACAATTCCACATCAAGTGCAGGAATTAGAGCCATTCCAACAAGAAGGGGAGGGAGCTCCCCCACATCAGCACGACCCTCCAACGCCCTGACACCTCCCCTAAACCCTCTTTTTTGGTGTTTAAGTAGTGTTTGAACCACCTAAGAACCCTTAGGCTGTGCCACGGGTGAAGGGACGTGTTGCTGCTGGTCTCCAGATCCTTGCACCTTGCTGAGCCACTTTGCCTGCCCACTGTTGGCCCAGGATGGGTCACCAGGGAAAATTAGGTATTTTATTCCCAGCCAACCTGGGGAGGCACACTCAGCTCCAGATCCCGCTGCACAGGCTGATTCCCTGACCATCAATCTCTGGGTGTGATGGAAGCCACACTTTCATAGCGAGGCATCCTCACCACCACACTGCCAGATTTAAAAATAAATGTCTCGCCTTTGTGTTGGCATGAATTTTTGATAAATACCTTGTCTTTGTGGTGGCATTTATCTCTCAGAGGGAGGCCATTGTGTAGTGGAAATATCCCTTGCTCACTGATGTTATCTTTCCTGTATTTTTATTAAGCAACGTGGGGAGGAATGAGCAGCTGCTTATTTGTCACTGGGTGCTGCTCCTGATACAGAATTATTATTGGAGAGGGACAGGGGAGTGGGTGGTGTGGTGCCACTGTGGGCTTGGTGCCATTTGAAGCCTTTGCACACAGCAGCTTCAATGGTGACAGATGTATTTTTAATGGTCTCTTGTTTTCTTTATTCATAAAAGGGCAACTCTGGTGGTGATGGCCCCCCTGGTCCTCCTGGAGAAAGGGTAAGACAACCTGGTGGGGTAAAACAGGACTCAGAGGAGGGTTTGCAGGGCTGAGATGGTGCTGAGGGGTTTTGGCAGTGAACATCCTCCGAGGTGACCTGTTAAGCAGAGATGAGTGGGCAGCTCACAGGAGCCGGGATGCAGCTCAGCAACACCTCGGTCAGCAAAAGGAAAAGTCTGGTTAGAAATCCAGGGTGAAAAGTGCTTGTGGTGGAGAGAGGTCCCACAAGTCACCTCCAGCCCTTAGGTCCTTTCTAAGCTCTCCAGGGAAGGCTCATGTGGGACCTTGGGTGTCCTGTGTGAACATCACTCCATGGGAAAAGGAGGAAGTCACCCCGGGCCTTTGTGCTGACAGCCAGAGCCCAGGATTTCTGGGGCATGTGGTCCTCTAGGATCTCGTAGTGCTTTCCCCCAGACTGGTGGAAAAAACTGAAACAACGGGACTTTCATGATTTTAGCCTCAATTTCTGTGTCTTTTTTTTTTACTGGGTTTTGTTTTAAAATTTTCTACAAAATCACCCAGTGTTTGGCTTTCCAGACCTTTGTGCTCATCTGCTGCTCACACAGAGCTGGTGTTTCACAGTGAAGTGTTACAGGTTCCTTAACCATGTTTTCTGGCTTGTCTTTCATTCCAGGGACCACCAGGGCCTCAAGGACCGACTGGATTTCCTGGACCAAAAGGCCCCCCTGTAAGTAACTCACTTTCTAGAGCATCCAAAGAAATCCAAAGCCTTTCCCACCCAGCTGTGACTGCCTGTGCCAGCTCAGCCTGAGCTGCCTCCCTGACAAGTGGTGACGTGCCCAATAAAAGGCTTCACTGAGACATCACGATCATGACCCAGTGGTTTAAGATTTTAAATAGCCAAGTAAATTGCAGCTGATTATAAATGTTAATTTCCTAATGACTCAGAATCTCTGGGATCTTTCCTGGGTGCTCTGTTCGTTATTTTCCCTCTGTATATGGGGAGGACAGCACAGCACTAACACTGCTGTCTCTGCAATTATTATACACTGGTGGGGAACCTCAGAAACCTTTGTGGAGTGATTTCCTTCCCTGTGGTGAGCAGCTCACTCCTGCTCTGAGCCTGTAAGAGAAATCTTTCCTTCGGGAGATGTCTGGGAAAGGGATGTAGCTTTTAGGGTTCTGAGCACCCCAATTTCACCGTAAAATGGGTGGCAACTGAAACAAGCAGAGTTGATTCAGCTCTTATCACAGTTTTATTACTGAGCACTCAGTGATGTTCCTTCTCACCCTGGTTTTCTGCTGCAGGGTCCTCCTGGGAAGGATGGATTGCCTGGGCACCCCGGACAGAGAGGAGAAACTGTAAGTAGCCAAAAAACCTTGGGCAGATCATTAGTCCTGAGTCTTGTCTTGCCAGGTGATTTCTCTAAACCCTTCTGTGCAGCTGGGGAGATTCCCTGGAGGTTTATGTCTCTCCAGCTGCACTGGATGGTCTATGGGAAGCAGCCCTGTACCAAGCAGGACAGGCTGGTCTAATGATGGTTTATCTGGAGGCTGTGACCAGCTCCTCTCTCTGTGTCCTTCAGCAGACTGGGGAGGTCAATGTGTGTGGTTTGAAGACATGAGCAGGGATGTTGTGGTGCCAGCGACTGGCATCGGGGGGCACTTGTGTTTCTTCTGTGATGGGTGGTGCAAGAGGCAGCTCCTTGAGAGCTGGGAGGATGTTTTGATTGGGTTGTGTCTTGGTCAGCACCAGCACAAACCATTGCTTGGTGTGGTTCTTACCTCCACGAGGGGGAGAGGAAGCTGGGGGGTGATTTCTGAGCAGGCCCTGTGGCTGGGACTCTGTACCCCAAGGACTTATTGTAGCTCTTGTCCCTTTGCCTTCCCAAAGGAAGGCTGTGCCTCTGCCCTTTGGAGTGTTATGAATAATCCCTGAGCTTTCTTTCCCACTGGCCTTTGGAGATGTGCAGGTTTCATGTCTCTATTTGAGAGACTTAACTCTAGGCTGTGATAGCAGGGGTTTGTCATGTGAGACAGGCTCCATTCTCCACCCTCTCAGCTTCCCACACCCATGTGCCTGAGACCAGGCGCAGTTTTATTTTCTCTGGAACCCGGAACAGGGAGAAATAAACACTTTTCACTTCTTGATGCATCACGTGGCCAATGTCACAGTGGAGAAGAGTTTCAGCCCAGTTTTGGCCGTGCTTGTCTGGAGAGGAAGGCAATTCCTGTCCAAGAGAAGACATGGAGTGATTTCCCTCTAGTTTTTGTGTCTACACCAGTTCCTGCAGCACCTGAGCAAGAAGAGATGAGCAAAGATGTTGTGGCTGCCCCATCCCTGGAAGTGTCCAAGGCCAGGCTGGATGGGGCTTGGAGCAACCTGGGCTAGTGGAAGGTGTCCCTGCCCATGGCAGGGGGTTGGAATGAGATGAGCTTCATAACCCAAAGCAGTCTGTGATTCCACGATCTCTGCCCACGCTGCCTTTTAGCCAAAGCTACGCACAAGAGCCTCCCCCAGCTGTGCCTGTGCCCCCTCCAGCAACATTCCCTGGGGAGCAGCTCCTGGCTGGCATTTTGGCATTTTGGGGGATGTTTGTTGTTTTTCCTCGGCTGTTTACAATCCAGCTCAGTCACTGCTTTTGGTACATCCCTCTCCCAACACTGCATGCTGCATGTTGGCAGATAGACCCTTTGTTCTGTCCCTGTTTTACAGAGGAAAAAACCAAACCCATTTCCTCTCCTCAGCTTTGCATTTTTCTCTACTGCCTTCCCAGCAAATGAGCATAAAAAAGGCTTTGCACATTATGCATTTTTTTCCCCTCAACTTATCACACAATTTAATTAACTTGCCTGGCATTTGCTAAGCAAGGCAATGCAAACACTGCTCAGCAACACCAGATATTTATTTACACTCCACAAGACTGACTTTAAGGCAGTGGTTGGGGTAGTTTTGAGCAGAGTCCTCAGGTCAGGATTAACTTAAAGGTGAAGAGTTTTCACCTGCCAGAGCCTGACTGACATTTAGTCTTCCTTGAGTTATCCATAACATCCAGGACACTACATTTGAGCTGGAAGAAACAATAAAACTTTGCTTTTGTCTGCTATTATCAACTTCTGAGACTGGAATAAAGCATCAAACTCCAAGTCTTCATGACTAGGAATGGAGAATGGGCTTCCAATTATTTTGGGTCTGAAAGTTCTCCCTAATAGCTTTCCTCAGTCACTGCAGCAGTGGTTTGCCTCTCCCAGGCAAATCCTGCCAGAAGACAAAATCTCTATTAATCTGTGTCATCAAACTTGCAAAAATCCCTTTCCCCTGCAACCCCTTGGGGTAGGAGAAGACCCTTTTTGTCTCCCTTTCCCTACACAGTGCCAGAAAGCAAGAAGAGAAACATAAAAGCAAATTAAGTACTATTTCTCCATCAACAACCTGGTCAGTGCAATGTGTCTTCATGCAAGAAAATCTAGGCTTGAAATCTCTGTGTGAAACACTTCCCTTTATTTTACTTCTCTTTCAGTGCCAAACAGCCACGCTGAAATATTTGGCCATATTAAATTTAAACAAAGATTGGGTCTAAAAAACCATGACAGATTGTAAAACCCCTGTGCCCGAGGCTCAAAGAGCACAAAAGGAAACCCCTTTTCTCCAGGTTAACAAGAAAAGTCCTGAGCAGAAATGGTCTAAATATTTTTCTACGATGGGAGTTTAAATTGTACATTCATTTCCCAACGATGTTTTACCATTTCCCCGTCAGTGACAGGATATTTTCTGTGATCTGCAGGCAGCTAGAATATCATGGAGGAGTTGTTTTAGCACGACACACTAGCATTGACATGGGATTTATCTGATCCTCTTTTGTGGCAATGAGAAAATAGCCTGTATGCCTTAAATGCCATTTCTCAGGCTTGTCAGCGTGCTGCAGTAAGAACGATAATTAATGTGCTTTTAAAGAGTGGCTTAGGAGAGCTAAACAATTGCAGTGGTGATGGCTCGTTATTGTCACTCTTCAAAATGACATTATAAGGAGCTGTCATGGAGCCTTCACTGCTCATCAGCGTTCGAGGACAAACACGGCTGTGATTTCTTTCAGCAGATGTTGGTGAAGGAAATAAAGCTTCACTCACCCCCCCCATGGCTGGAGGGTTTGGGGCTTCAGCAGGGCTGGAGACGGGAGCTGCCGGTGCCAAAAGTGGAAAAGAGGGTCACCCAACCCCTGAGCTCCTGGGAGCTGAGCTTAAAACAGAACTGAGCCTAAACCAGCACCAGAATGGGGAGCAGGAGAAGGGAAAACAGCTTTTAAGAATTGCTCAGCGTGAAGAAACTCACACTGACTTTTTAATAGCCCTTTAACAGGCGTTTCCTCAACAGGTTTTATGAGCGTAGCAAATTTTTTAATATATATGGCCAATCCTTCAGCCAAACCACAGTAGCCCCATCAAAACAGCAGAGCTTGAGCATTGAGAATCCCTTCTTCTTCCTCTGTTTCAGCCCTGTATAAATTCAAATACGTATTTTCCACCTTCTTTTTGATTTCTTCTCTTTCCTTTGGGTGTCCATCCACTCCCGGTCAGCGGTTTCACCGCGGGAGGAGCAGTCGGGTGGCAGTCTGACCCTTGCTGGAGCAATCCTTGGCAAAAGTGTCACCTCTTTCTCTTTTACCTTTCTCTAACAGGGTTTCCAAGGCAAGACTGGCCCTCCAGGACCCCCTGGTGTCGTAGGCCCTCAGGTAAGAAGCAAATACTCCCACTTGCACCAGCCTTCTGCAACTCCTCTCCCCCCGGTGGGCACCGTGGGCTCTCAGAGCTCTGATGGTTCAGCTGGAGGTGGTGGGACCAGAGGTTGTACAGCAGGGACTCCTCTTCCAGGGAAGGCAAAGGCATGTCAGATAGCTTTGAAATTCCTGGCCAAGGTGTGAAATATCCCAGCGGTTCCCAGCCCACCTTGTGGAGGCCTTTGGGTGGTGTTTAGACAAACGTGCCTGGGGGCTGCTGTAAGTAAGGTGGTTCCTGTGAACTTAACACAACTACCCTGGTGTAAATTGGAAAGGCCAGCTCCACACAATTCAACTAAAAGACCTCTAAGCAGACAGTGAGTTAAACAAGATCTCCAAGGGCTGTACAGCTGCTGGTGTTCAGGGCACTGCAAGCGTGATGCAAGAGTGCTCCTACATGTCACTGTGAAGAAAGTCATCCCTCTTTAATCTGAAGTGCTGCCAGATTCTGTCAGAGCTGGGCTGGTTTCTTTCACTCACAAAAAGCCCTGTGCAATCTGGAAATAGTCACTGCACAAGCAGAACTCAGAGCCTTTAAGTACAGGCGTGCAGGGCTCGTGGGTCAGTTCTGGGCAGAGTCCTGGACTGAGTAGGACTGGCTTTGGGTCAAGTCTTCTTTGCTGAACTGCTGGGGAGCTCGCTCTTTAATTAGAAAGTAATTAATTTGTCCTCTTTAATGGCAGTGTGTAAAGTCCCTGATTTGTAAATTCCCTGATTAGGGGCAATTCCCTGACGACCGTGTCTGTCTTCTCAAGTGCAAATTAAGTTCTGTGGCAATTTTATCGGGCTCTGTTGCGCGTACTTAGTGTGATCTGTGGCTGCTGAGCCAGGCAGTGGTGGAGTTCTGCTGGCACTAAGTGGCACCCTGCAGCAGGACATGAATTACAGCCCCTGTCCCAGCAGACACCTACGGGCAGGGATGTTACAGGCTTGTGTTCATGGCTCCTGTCCTCCCCCAAAATGGGCCACTGGGGAACCCTCTGTGCTGGGCCTTATGTTAAACTCGTCACATTTGTGCCCGCGGAGGGCACGGAGGCAGTTGGTAATTGCTGTGCAGTACGAGCCTAATGCATTATTTATGCCCCATGGAAGGGAGAATCAGCAGGGTTGTAGAGTGCTTAGGAAGTTTTCAATTAAAAAGAAAAACCTAAGCATAACGGCTGTAGTAATGACATCTCATTTCTGTGAATGCTTTCACTCCAGAGGTTCCCAGTGCCTCTGCTCTGCCAAGTGCAATGTTGCCCACTTCCAAAACACGAGGTTCCTTTAGGTGCCAAAGGAGGTGTCTCTTCAGGGATTCCTGGTGGCACTGCAGGGGACACCCAAGGGAATAAGCATTTCCATCCCATTGCAACCCAAAGGACTAAACTGATATTCTGCACCTCTTCCTTCCTCTGTTGTTCCACCATGTTCTCCCTGATTGTTTTTTTCAGGGTCCAACTGGTGAGACTGGGCCGATGGGTGAGCGGGGACACCCAGGCCCTCCGGGTCCCCCGGGTGAACAAGGTCTTCCTGGCCTCACTGGAAAAGAAGGGACCAAGGTAGGGACTAGAATTCACCTTCCCTGCCAGCCTGGGTACCTGCCTCTCCCCAGAGATGGAGAGGATGATTCAGAAGAGAAATGAAGCTTCTGTCTCCCTGTGGAGAGACAAGCTGGGTCTCCATGGAGTCTGCAGAGCCTCAGCTGCTCATCTTTGTCGTTGCAGGGGGACCCTGGTCCTGCTGGCCTCCCAGGGAAGGACGGACCCCCCGGCTTGCGAGGCTTCCCCGGAGAGAGAGGGCTCCCTGGCCCCATTGTGAGTAGAGGCTGCTCAGTCCTTCCAACAGGAAGGATGCCCGGGAGGTGCAGCACCCACCTCCCAAAATGACTTTTGTTTTCCTCCCTCCAGGGTTCTCCAGGGCTGAAAGGCAACGAAGGTCCCCCAGGCCCTCCAGGCCCAGCAGTGAGTATCCTTGCCCTTGCAGACACCACCTAACCATTTACAAGCTTGGCAGGCCAGAGGGGGGTTAGTCACAGCTCCAGGCTTTATCCCTTATTTCCTTTGCACTAACAATGACTCCCTGGATGTTGCTTTATTTTACAAGACACGCGTGTAACGACGCAGTCGTTTTGTGGTGTCAGCTGGGAACATACGTGACCAGCTGAGGGAACTGCAGTGGTTCAGGACATCCAGAGTATTGCTCCTAAGCCACCTGCTTTCCCTCTGGAAGTTGTCCTCACTTGAGATCCATGTTCAGTGCCGCCCTCCTGGAAGAAAATATTCATCATCCAACCCTCCCCGCTGTGTTGGCTGTGAAGTGGCTCACGCTCTCGTTCCAAGCTGTTAATGTATCCCCAGGAACTGAGCTCCCTGCACCATCCAGAGGAGAAACCAGCCCTTCCAGGGATTTTAATTAAAAAAACGATCTGCAGGACCCCTTAGGCTGGTGGTACCAAGTCATCACATGGCAGTTATCCCATCAAACGTGCTCACATACTGACACTGTGTTTGCAGCGTCCTGCTGCTGGATTTCTTTGTCTCTTCATGAAGCTCGATACTGCAGTTAAAGCTTCTTTCCTTCTTCTCCCAACAGGGCTCTCCTGGGGAGCGTGGCCCAGCAGGATCAGCTGGCCCAATAGGTTTGCCAGGGCGACCTGGCCCTCAGGGACCTCCAGGACCTGCAGGTGAAAAGGGAGCTCCAGTAAGTACCAGCATAAAGGTTAAAGGGTGTGGGTCAACTAGAAATGTGCACAGCAGGGAGCTGAGCATGGAACCAGTCCCTGGGGGAGGTGGATGAAAGATTTAAATGAATAAATAAAATAGGAATTCAGGTAGAAATTCATTTTCTCATCTTGAGCACATCAAGCCACTAAATGTGAATTGGGATGCCTGTGCTATCAAAAACGCATGTGATCCCAGGGACCAACATGTCCTCAGGCAACAAGGGCTGAGCAGGTGAAATGACAGCCCGTGTGACCTCCTAGTGACAAGCAGCCAAAGGCCAGGCCTTTGGGAAGAGGAGTGAGCCAGCCCCATCCCTGCTTTATAAGGGCGCGATGGCAGCAGCAGTTTCCACGGAGCCCGAATAAATCCTTCCCCGGACGACGGGCGGTGCGGGAAGGCGCCACGGAGATTTTGGGATGAGCATCGGCACTCCCAGGCATCCACCCCCCTGGTGCCCGTGACAGAGCTGCTCCCAGCAGGATCCCGAGCCCAGCACGGCTGAGTCCTGCCATATGGTCCCTCTCCGGAGCGTTCTCCAGCCAACCCGCGCAAACTCGCACGTCTTTCGCTCCCCCGGCACGCGCGTGAAATGTCACGTGCGGGCAGGAGGGAGTGGGCTGGGATGGGGCTATTTCTGTTCCTGGAGAGCTCGGCACTGACAGTCCCCAGGCCTCCAGTTCCCGCCCAAACGGGTTGGGAGGGATGTTTGGGTTGCCTGCCTCAAACTTAAGCTCGGCTTCAGGCCCAGCAAGACGAGCAAACGGTGGCATCGGTGATGTCAGGCTCCATCTCATGGGTGATTGATGTTGTTATCAAAAGCGTTTAGCAGCCACTGTATTCCACATTTGCTGGCTTATTAGAAACTCCGGCAGCTAATCCAGAGGCAAGAATTTCCTGGTGAATCAGCTTTAGGAACATCTGTCCTGCCGAGTACCTATATGATGTATCAGTCAGTGGGTAGATGAATAGGCAATTTATGTGGCATGTAATTATTCAGAAGAGAGCACCCAGGATTCAGATGCAATTAAATTATGTACGAGGAAACTGGAAAATATTCACTGTTCAGTTCCTGTAAACAAACAAATTTGATTGAAGGCTCCAGCTTGGAGGAGTGCTGGTAGTTGTTTAAGCAGGAGGCCAGTAGAGATTGCTTTATTCACTTCAGGTGTTTTCCTTTGTCCAGAAGCTCAGGGGGGAGCTCAGGGCCTCCTGAGAACCTCCCTTAGTTGGGGATCAGCCAGGGAAGGGAGAAGGCTGGGGCAGCCCGGAGCACAATCAGCAAAAACTGGCTTGTGGGAGTAAAAATTAGTTGGGGTCTTGTTTGTCATCTGGAGAGAGATGGCAGAGGGTTCAGATTAAATCTGATTATATTGCTATAGCAGTGAAATTGCAGCTGGGATCTGGGTATTCACTGTGTAGATTTGTTTGTTCCTTCGTTATCTCTCAAGACAGAAATTTTGTCTTGTTTCAGACAGCGAGCCCAGAGCCTGATGAAATATCAGCTGGAACAGGTTTTGCTATTCATGCCCAGGGGTTGTTAGCAGCTGAATAAAACATTAATGGGATGTAATGGGCTGGTTGGAGGGTGGAGGAGAGCTCTGTGTGACCTGCTTGTTCTTCTGCTTCCAGGGGGAGAAGGGTCCTCAAGGACCAGCTGGCCGGGATGGCATCCAGGGCCCCGTGGGACTGCCGGGTCCAGCAGGTCCTGTCGGCCCCCCTGGAGAGGATGGAGACAAGGTGGGAACAGCTCCCTGCTGCTCAGGGTCACTCTGGGAAGGAACTGCGCCCCCTTGGTGCCTCCACCACATTGGGTGGGATGTGCTGCTGGAGGATGTTTTATGGTGCTCAGAGTCTGTGAGATGAGCAGCATCCAACCTGGGGAGCAGCAGCAGATGGGGCTCTGTGTGCTCTGCCAGCCACAGCCACACCATTCCATGAAATCCAGTTTGCCTTCCCCCAAACCTGCAGCAGCACTTGCCTGTGGGTGCCTGACCTTTCCAAATAAATTACCTTTGTCCACTCTCTGATTAAGCCCCTCAAGAATGGAAGATGCTTAGAAAACATAATCTGAGATGACTCCCTCGTGGCTGCTAAAAGAGTCCGCAAAATGATGCTTCTTGCATCGCATGGCAGCCAAGGAGAGTTGCAGGATGTAAAAGGGTTTGGTTATACCTGGAGTGGTCAAATCACTGGCATTATTCAGCACACTCTGGGCTGTTTCTGTGGGAATTGGCAGCTTTGGGATGAGGATACAGGCACACAGGACTGTTGCTGGAATGTTGAGATGGGGAGGTGGCCACCAAGTGAACTAACTTTGTGCCCCTTTGTTCCTGGCAGGGTGAGATCGGGGAGCCTGGCCAGAAGGGCAGCAAGGGCGACAAAGGGGAGCAGGTGAGTGCAGTGGACATTGCAGCTGCTTCTCTTGAGGGGTGTTGTTACGTTGTGTGACTTGCTGAAAACAGAAAACAATATAATTTTAATGTATTTCTTTCGTTGCTTCATCCCCTCCTCTTCTTCATCAAATACCCACATGGTGATAAAAAGAGTGAGAGCCTCCAGCTCCCAGGAACACAATGAGACATTTCCATGTCACCCATGTACCATGTAAACATCTGTAAAACATTAATAGCCCTTGCCACTAAAGTTGGGTCTTTGGCTGAAGTTCCCCTTCTGATCCAGTTGAAGATGTCCCTGCTCATGACAGAGGGGTTGGACCAGGTGACCTTTAGAGGTCACTTCCAACCCAAACCATTCTGTAATTCTATGATAACTCTAGCTGCTTGCAGCACACTGAAGCACCCTTTCTGTGTTGCCCAGAGCCTGAGGAACAAACACAAGTCACACATGGATATTTAGATAGAACTGAGTGTGTGACATTGCTTTGCTGGAGCAAAAATATGTTTAGACGTGTCTGCTGTGCCATTGGCATCAGGCCTGAGGAATGCTGGTGTGTCCAGAGACACCTGACCTGCTCTCCCTGTCAGGTTTGGGAATTAATGCAGGTTTAATGGAGGCTTTATTGAAGGGCATCACCTTTTCCAAGGGAATTTGTCACTCTGCTCCTAACGCTGACATTACACTTCTGTTTTGTGACAGGGTCCACCAGGTCCTACCGGCCCCCAGGGTCCAATTGGTCAGCCTGGCCCAGCTGTGAGTATTGTTCTCCTTTTTTTCACTAAAAAGCCCTGTAAGAATGGGCAGTTTCTGCCTGGCACTGCTGATGCCCAACACGAGCCAGGCATGGCCATGAGCTGCAGCAGGAGATGGTGGGGATGGGGTTTGTGCCTGCCTTGTGTTTTTGTTGAGCTGTGTCAGACCCTTTCCTTGTAGGGAGCTGATGGAGAGCCAGGACCCAGAGGACAGCAGGGCCTCTTTGGGCAGAAAGGTGATGAAGGACCCCGAGGTTTCCCTGGTCCCCCCGGCCCTGTGGGCTTGCAGGTGATTTGCAGCATCGAGGGAGGGCTTGGGGTAGTGAGAGCTGGGGCTCACCTGAGATGTTCACAGCTAAAACTCACCCCCTCCACCTTCACAGGGCTTGCCTGGACCACCTGGGGAGAAAGGAGAAACAGGAGATGTTGGGCAAATGGTAAGATGGTTTCATACTTCTTTTTTCGTCACTGACATTGCCATTGCTCTGAGAAATGTGTCTTAATTTTGTCTCTCCTTTCTCTCAGGGTCCCCCAGGCCCACCAGGACCCAGAGGCCCATCTGGGCCACCAGGAGCAGATGGTCCACAAGGTCCTCCTGGGGGAATAGGAAATCCTGGTGCAGTAGGAGAGAAGGTAAAGCATCTGGACAAGCCTGATTGAAGCTCACAGGAGTTTGCTACAACACTCCTCCATCAGCTTTGCTATGTTAGCAGAAAATCTCATCACCCTGCAGAAATATAAGTATTTCCATCCTCTCTTCCCTTGTGCAGGGTGAACCTGGTGAATCTGGTGAGCCTGGTCTTCCTGGCGAGGTTGGGCTCCCGGTAAGTACACTCTAGGAAAGCATGGATGTGGATGGAGAAGTGTGGATGTGGATGGGACAGCAGCCCTGTCCTTGGTTTGGGTATCAGATGACACATCACCATGTTCCTGGGTATTTATAGTATCACGTTTAGTCACCAAATATGGGCTACCCACGACTGAACACCATGAGCACCATTTAATCTTTGTGGGAAGGGACTGCTAAATCATGTCCTTGTGTTTGGAGATGCAAATAGAGCTTCTTTCTCAGAATTATTTAAAGGATAATTAGAGATCAGCACATTGTTTTCCTGGATAATAGAAACACCTTTTTTTCCTTTGCAGGGTCCTAAAGGTGAAAGAGGTGAAAAGGGTGAAGCAGGTCCCTCTGGTGCTGCTGGTCCACCTGGCCCCAAAGGCCCACCAGGTGATGATGGTCCCAAAGGCAGCCCTGTAAGTACCCCTTCAATATTTTCTTGGCTTGCCCAGCAGGGATTTCTGCATGAAAATAGGTTTTCCAGAGATATTTGTGGAAATTTGAAAGCGTTTGCCAGCCATAGAATTGTTCCTCTAATGATACATGATATGAGCCCCCTTCTTCAGGGTGCTAATGAGGGAAAGACCCAGCTGTGCAGTATTTTCCAGCAATACTGGAATTATTAGCCCTTTTTGCAGGCCATCATAGAGCTCACCCCCATGGAGAGGGCCTGCACTAGATTTACTTGGCACTTCAGCATATGGATTGCCAAGGTCTTCTGCAAAGAGCAAAGCTTCCAAAACAGCACAGAGGAGATTTATGTGGATTTGGGAGCTGTACCTCCACGGCCAGATCCCTGCTGCTGCTAATTGCTGTAGCTCTGGTGAAGCCAGTGGAGCTCTCCTGATTTATACCAGATGACAATGGTACAGTATTTATCTTGCCCTCTCCTTTGATGCTTGCTGTCTGGAGAAATTTATTCTGAGATAAGCGAAGATGGCATAAAACAGCAGAGGAGGCAGGGGAGTTACTCATCTCTCCTAACAGATGGGGTTTGGGATATCTCGTGATTGGGTGAAATCTGGTTTTTGAGTGCTGGTCTTGGAATCATTTGAAGTACCTGATAGACACTGCATGAGGAAGAATGGTGAAGTGTTTTAGTCATTAAATGCTTTGAGAGGATATTCCTGGGAAAAAAATGTTACACATCATGTAGGAAGCAGAAGCAAAATCTTCTAATCTGCACATTCCCCAAAGCTGCGAGGATTTTGCTGTCACCCGTCCAATGTCTTTATGAAAAACTAAAATGCAAGCCCCAGCGTTGCCTTTGGAGCTTTGCACAGCCTGGATGCAGAGCTGGACTGGCTGTGACAGGGTGAAAATACTGAAGTTGTAAAGATGGGATGGGATCTGGGATTGTGTTCGATGGAATTGGGGCCTGCTCCGTAGGGTGACTCCCCATGCTGTCCACTAGTGCTCTGCAGTTCTCCACATGCAACATCCCTGACTTGGGACTGTCCTTCTCTCTTTGCAGGGTCCAGTGGGTTTCCCTGGCGACCCTGGTCCTCCTGGAGAACCTGGTCCAGCTGTAAGTGTTTGTCTCACGGAAGGGCAGATCAGTTCCTCCTCCTGGTTTGGTGAAGTGTGACTGTGCTGCTCATTCCCCAGAAGCTCCTCTGTCATTTACTCTTCCCTTACTTGGGAAAGGTTAGGAAGTCCCACCAAAAGTCTGTCTGACTGTGCTCCAGCCTTTGGGGCAGTAGCTACACGAGTGCTGTTATCCCTGTTTTTGACATTGGACATCACTGTTGTCAGTGTTCCCAGTGGGAAGTGGGAAGGGGTGGTGCCTGGTGACATGAAGACCAGCTGAACCTGCTGCTGCCAACACTCTGCTCAAGTCCATTCATACCCTAAATACACCTCCTTGTTTCTTTTTTTCCTCCTATTCAGGGTCAAGATGGTCCCCCTGGTGACAAAGGTGATGATGGTGAACCTGGACAGACTGTGAGTAATTGGACAGATGAGATCTGTTCCCCACACTCCCTGTGTGCAGGTCCAAGGACACTGAGCACCAAATTCCCACCAGTGCTGGTCCCCTGATGCCTGTCCATCCTATTTGTGGCAGCCTGGCTGCTGCCATCCATCCACCCATCCATCCATCCATCCATCCACCCACCCACCCATCCAGCTTAGCAATACATCCCGAAAGCATAAATTACCTCATGGAAAAACAACTTCCAAGCCTTTGCTTTCAGCTTTTCCGTGCCGTATGGTACTTCATGGTGGGAAGGGATAAAACGAGATACCACCTGCACCCCGAGGAGGTGTTGGGAGTTGTGCTGGCTGCCCACGCCTCAGCTCAGCACAAACTCGAGATCCTGACTCAAGTTTTACACGTTTGCTGCTCTTTCACACGTCTCGTGGTGCATTTATGGCTTGTTCTCCTCCCCTCTCCATTTAGGGTTCCCCTGGTCCCACGGGAGAGCCAGGCCCCTCCGGACCCCCAGGAAAAAGGGTAAGCTGGTTGGTTTAGGAGGATTTTTCCAAATGTGTCTGTGTTGACTTTTTAAAACTCATTTTATTGCGAAGTCTCCCATAAATGCTGTGTAAATACTGTGTAAAATGTATGATAATTAAAAAAAGAAATTATACACCATCCACAGCCATTGGAAATTGATGGGAAGCTGTCAGCTGAATCCCATGGATTTTTTTTTTTTTAAGGTGTTAACAGCCAAAAAAGAAAATACAAGTATGAGGTGCTTCTGCTCTTCCTGCATTGCTGGCAGAGCTTAGGGATTCATTTAGCAAGCAGCTAATTCAAAAAGCTTTCCAGAGAAATTTGTCTCCATTTTGCCTCCTTCCCTGGGGCTGCAGCATCATTTTGCTAATTCCAACAGACTGTTTCAGATCACTGTGATCTAATTGTGTTTTGCATCTATTTTGTGCTTTCTTTAGGGCCCTCCTGGTCCAGCTGGTCCCGAAGGAAGGCAAGGAGAGAAAGGAGCCAAGGTAAGAATTGAAGGGGATTTTACTTCCCCTACGTCCTTGATGTGCCAAAAGGATCAACCTCTGCAACGCCGGCGTTTGAAAGGCAGGGATTTGATTTTGCTGTGTGTTACAACAAATTAGCCTGGATTTGGGGCCATTGGCCTCAAATCTGAGCTTATGTTTCATCCTTTAACAAACTCTGTGGAGATAATTAGGGCTTGGTAAGGTCATGGGAATGTTTTTCTTGTTTTGAAATGACAAAGTGCTATATTTGGCCATTTAACGTCTTGTAAATAATAGGGTGTGCACAGCCCCACGTCCCTTCCCAGGGCAAACATGGCACTACTGGGCCATGATTGTTTAGGTAGGAGTGGTGGGGAAATGGAGAGAGGGATTGCAAATTATAGATCCAGTTGTTGTGGCAGCTGCAGGAACGCTGATGGTGGAGGATTCCCTCTTGCTAGCTCATCTCCCAGGGCTGAACCCAGGAAAGCTTCCTGCCCCGCAGAGCTCAGAGCCAAAGGGTGGTTCCTGCTGGAAAACAGCAGAAATAGGCAAGACTGAAAAGTGAAGGAGTTTGGAGACCTCTCCTCAGCACACAAGGGGGAGGGAGCAGTAGGAAAATCAAGGAATAGGAAATTTTACTTGCTTTGTGTGGACCTGCCTCCACCCTGTGACATCCTGGCAGCAACCACAGGGTACTGAAAATCATTTGATGCCCCAGCACAAATTAAACCATCCTGCCTCTTGCCTCCAGGGTGAAGCTGGTTTGGAAGGACCTCCTGGGAAGACTGGCCCAATTGGTCCCCAAGGTGCTCCAGGGAAGCCCGGCCCCGACGGCCTTCGAGGGATTCCTGGTCCAGTCGTGAGTATTCCCAGTCTGAGAAAGCTTCTGAGCAGGGTTGTTCCTGGTGCTTCACCATATCCCATCTGCTTGGAAGATACTTTTCTCCCAGAGTAACATTCTGTCTGTGCTTAAATATTTGACAGCAGATAAAACATATTTAGTGGAAATAATAGAACGGTGAGTAACATCTCCCACCATGTTTTATTTGAGTTTTGAGTCTTTTCAGCCACTCTTTTTGGGTGGGAGTTTCCTCCCAAGTCCCTGTTCCAGTTAGAGATTTGAGCATGAAAAGACAATAAATCCTTTTGCCTTTGCCATCTGGGAAAAGCCAGGACAAACATTCCCGGGCACAGGTCAATAATCAGAATATTCCCAGCTGGGAGCACTGCTGTCATGGATGACTGTTTTCAGGGAATTGCACTGTTTTACAGGGTGAACAAGGTCTCCCGGGATCCCCTGGCCCAGACGGTCCTCCAGGCCCAATGGTATGTCCAGAGCATCAAATTCCAAGTGGTTTTGGAATGGGTAAGTGTGTGTAACATGAATTCATCCTCTCTTTTGTTTTCCCCCTGTCTCCCAAAGGGCCCACCGGGTTTGCCTGGTCTGAAAGGAGACTCTGGTCCTAAAGGGGAGAAGGTAAGAACAGCACCTGGGATATATTTGGGTTTGTATCTAGAAATGTCTTTGCTGTGTGGCTTTGGTGTTGAATTGCCTCCGGTGAGAATTCCTAATTAACATCTGCTGTTTTCCCTTAGGGTCATCCAGGTTTAATTGGCCTTATTGGGCCGCCGGGAGAGCAGGGAGAAAAGGGTGACAGAGGTCTCCCAGGCCCCCAGGGCTCAGCAGGACCCAAAGGAGAACAGGTAAAGATTCCATTAGACCTTCATGGGACGTGCTTTTGAGCTGCAAGTTTGCTACCCTTGAGGAGGCACAGCCCAGCAGAGATGGTCAAAGAGACTCTTGCTAATTTTTGAAGGAATATTTTCTATATTAATGTGGTTTATTCTACATGTGAAATGTGGATATGCTGCAAAATGACCCATTTTAGTGGGAAGTAGATCCTCAAGGGTAGTATGAAAAGAGTTGAATGGACTTGGAGGGATGGTATCATTAAATATTCATCTAGAGGGCTGATTTTTAAAACTGTGTGTGCCTAAATGAGATATGGGATTCCTTGTTCATGCTCCTGTCTGGATCATGCACATGCTTAAAAACCAGTTAAAGCCCCAGACTGGAATGGAGTCCTCTGAAGCTGGGTGGTCGAATCAATGTTGTTCTGCTGTTATTTTTCAGGGTATCACAGGTCCTTCCGGGCCCATCGGACCTCCAGGGCCACCAGGATTACCGGTATGTGACAACTGATTATCCTGGAATTCCTTGGGACCTGCACAGTCCTTCAGGAGCCACTTTGGTGCTCTCAAATACCCAGCACAGTCCTGGCCTGACTTTACCTTGTCTGAGGGTTCTGGGTTTGCTCAGCTGAGCCCATTACAAACACTTGAATGAGTTCCAGGGGTGCTGGGAGGTGACGTGTGAGATGGGCACGGCAGGATGAAGGCAGGGAAATCATCCCACCCTGCTTCTCTTCCCCCTTTCTTTTGCATTATCTGCAATCACACGGTGATTTCTTGCACTTTTTGCTGCTATCTGTATTTTTTCCCACTGGATATCCTGGGATGAGCTGCTGGGTGTCCTTAGCACAGAGCCAGGATCAGCCTCACATTACAGTGATCCCCCAGCAGCTTTTCCAGTCCCCATCAGGGCAGGGCTGTGGAGTACTGACACAGATTGCTCTGACACAAATGTGGGTTGGCAAATAAAAGCAGCACCCTACTCAAGTGGATGTGGAAAGTGGAAATAGAAATAGAGTGAATTTTAAAAAACCCTTTTATATTTTCTCTCTGTTTTCTCTCTCTAAGGAGAGACTGATGACTTCTCTGCTTGGAAATGTACTGACTCTTCTCTGTATTTTTCTCTACACAGGGTCCACCTGGTCCCAAAGGTGCTAAAGGATCATCAGTGAGTATAGACACTGTTAAATGAAGAGGCTGAGGAGCTCTTATTAAGCGTAGAACCTGCTGTGACTCCTTCACATCAGTGGCATTAAAGCAATTAGCCAGAGATGACTGTAGCAAACACGGCCTTTTCAGGCTGTCTGAGCCCAAGAACAGTAATTGGGAAAGGTTTTTGTGCCACAACTGTACTTCACTGAACAGCAGCACAGCACAGATCATAAGGAGCAATCCAGTGCATAGTCCTTGGGAGAAAACCTGCTGCTGTAGAGTGGAGGGTATTAAAAATAGACTGAAAGCGGGAGGTGAGAAGCTGAAGAGCGAAGAACTCGGTGAGAAAGACGACACTGAAACTTCGTGGTGCAGATCTCTTTTGCAGGCAGCTAAAAATTCCTCTTGGGCAACTTCCTAGTGTCTTTTCCCCATTCAGAATTCAATGTTTTATTAATTTTAAGATTTTATTTGACTTGTAAAGATGTTGGATTGATTTGGAGGGGTAAAGTTTTCGTGCATCGGAGGATCCTTCCTCTTCTGTAGGGAGCCTAAGCAAAATTTGTCTGTTTAGTCCCCAGTGTTTGATCTTTTCTTTTACTTAAACATCAAAGATAACCTAAAGAAACATTTTCTTGGGAGGTGGGTACAAGAAGGCTCCTGTGGTGTGCCTGAAGAATAAAGTTTTTGCTATGAAAGAAATAATGTTTGGGATGTGATATAAGTAACAACTGCTTTTTCCCTGAGTGACTCATGTTTTTCTCTTGTTTTTCCACCCAGGGTCCAACAGGTCCAAAGGGTGAATCAGGTCTTCCTGGGCCCCCAGGGCCTCCTGTAAGTAGAACCCATGACACGAAGCATGAAACCATGTTCAGATTTAATGGATGTTGTAACGTTGGGAAGTAGAAGATTTCTGGACAAGGATTCATTGCCAATCCTGGGAAGGGAGTGGCATCTCTTAGAGATGTTGGGGGAGAAAGCAAGATGTGAAGGCAGAAGTTACTAATGGGAAGGTGGAAGGGGAAGGTGGGCCCAGTGTTTCAGCAGCACCATCAGGAGTGTTTTACGTGTCTAACATGTATCTCATGATGCTGTTTCTCAGTGCTGGGAGCTGCTTTGGCCACCTCTCCTGCCTCTCCTCCACTTCCAGTGCAATGAGAAGTTGTATCCTCTTTCCCCACAAATCAGGGTCCTCCTGGAGAGGTCATCCAGCCACTGCCCATCCAGGCTTCCAAGAGGACCAGGCGGAACATCGACGCCAGCCAGCTGGTGGACGACGGGAACGCCGACAACTACATGGACTATGCCGACGGCATGGAGGAGATCTTCGGCTCCCTGAACTCCCTGAAACTGGAAATCGAGCAAATGAAGCATCCACTGGGCACTCAGCACAACCCAGCACGGACCTGCAAGGACCTGCAGCTCTGTCACCCCGACTTCCCAGACGGTGTGTCCCGGGACAGAGGGGATATGGAGGAAACATTGAGGGTTTCCCAGCTCCACGCAGCGAATAGAAGGGAGAGTGGGAAGAGGAGTAATTTGGGGAGTCCCTTGTCCTGGTGCTCCATGAGGAATTTGGCTGGCAGAGAAGGAATTTGTAGAGTTGGGCTAGATAATCTTTGTACATCCCTTCCAATTGAAATTTTCTTTCTAAGAATGGAGATATAGGTTTTTACAAAGAGATTGGATGTGGCCCTTAGTGCCATGATATAGTAATTGGAGTTGGATCAGGGGTTGGACTTGATGATCTTGGAGGTCTTTTCCAACCCAACCTATTCTATGATTCTATGATTCTATAAAACATCTCTTCTGTAAGGTGCCACAGTATTAACTAGTACAAAAACCAGTTTTTCAAAAACTACATATAAATAATAGCCTGTAACAGAGATGAAACATCCCTGGTAAGATGGTTGGGAACGTGCCCATTGTCCTTCCTTCCCAGTGCTAATTCTTTCTTCCCTTTTCTCCCTGCTCGTGTATCCAGGTGAATACTGGGTTGATCCAAACCAAGGATGTTCCAGGGACTCTTTCAAAGTTTACTGTAATTTCACAGCTGGTGGAGAGACTTGCATCTTCCCTGATAAGAAATCTGAAGGAGTAAGTCCACACAACCTTTAATTTCCCCCTGTGTCATGGTGATGGATTGTTCCCTAATATGAATATTCGTAGACAGTCAATTTCAGGAGAATTGAACAATAACCAGTGAGGATCAAAGATCCAGAACATTCCTTCGTTACACAACATTGCTTCTAAAATAATAAGGAACACGTTGACAAAGAGAATTTCTTTGAGTAAGTCAGATTGGAACAAGCCTTTGATGATTTCCCAGGCATAATAAATGCTAAAACGTTAATTTTTTTAACTTTGCTGTACAAAGGCAGATGAGGGTATTGGAGCAGGAATTGGGGCTCCTTGGGAGCTTTATTTAACTCATTCCCTGTCTCCCCTCCCAGCCAGGCTGTCGCTCCGCTGCCTGCGTGTCTAAGCACCACTGACTCCTCTCCCCTTACTGTGTCTCCAAGCAGAGCAGATAAATGTTTATCTCCTGTCATTTTTTCCTGCTGTTTCCTGTGGGTAAACGATCCTAAATGATTGCAAGTATCCTCAGCTCTCTGCCTGGCGCTGATGTGCAAGGTTGATGAAGTTATTTTGTGTAATGATGCGCTTAGCTCAACCAAACTCATCATTTTTGTGCTGTATCCGTGCACTCTGCTTTCCAGAGCTGCTCTTCCCACTGCCTGGGGACCAACTCTTGCACTGGCCAAGCAGAAGCTCTTGCAATTCAGCCTGGGGGAGCTCTGCCAGTGTCACAGTTGTGCTCCAGCTGTGACAACGCTGAGCCGTTCGCTTGCCGCATTTCACCCACCAGAAATATGTGTCAGAGCTGAACAAATAACATGCAACATAAATATTCCTTGAGTTTTTCTTAGGGCTGTTTAAATAGGAGATAGATTTCTTCTCCTCACATCAACTTGCCATGTCTCTCCTCGAAATGTTGACAGCTAAAATTGGATTCTGGCCATGATCTTACAGGATCTCTGAGTCCCGCCATGCTCGTCCTGTGAGGGGCTCTATGTGATACTCCTCAAGTGCAAACTGTGCTACACTTCTGCAATACTTTATTCATAAGGAAAACCTTCAGCCTGCTCTTTTTCCATCTAGAGGAATGCAAACATTAACCACAGAAGCACTGAGTACTGGCTGACTGGTTTTATTATAAGCCACAGCAGAGTTTGAGCCATATCCCCTCTCAGTTTATCCCTCAACCAGCAGAAACACATTGACTTGCTTTACAGTTCACGTGCTGGAAAGGAAAGGACAACCCCAAGACACCTGCATGGAGTTTTTGGGGAGATTTGCAGCAGAATTGAGGGGGTTTGTGGGAGGGTGAGGGAGCAGAAGGCAGCCACGTTACTTCCTTGTGCTCTGACTCAAAAAAAGTGCTTCAGCAGCTTGGCTGGGGCTGACATAAAGGGTGCTCTGATGGCTGGTTTTTTGTCATGGTCACCGTCGCTCTGGGTCGTTGGAGCTCCATCACGTGTGGTCCAGCACCATCTGCGGAGGATGCACAGTCTGTGCTGCACCTTAAACACAGGAGACAGGCAGAGGCTCTTCCTTAATCACACCCTTTGCCTTTCCCAGCCCCACAGCATCTGGATTTGGCATTAGAGTGGCAGAAGCCTCCTCAGTTTCCAGCACTGCCTCTCCACCGCAGCCCTCCCATGAAGATCACTGCACCTTTCACCATTCGTTTCCTTTTTCCCTCTCTATCTTTCCTTTTCCTTTTCCTCTCATTAGACTGCACTGCTGGATTTGCATCCAAAGTGTCTAGGAGGCAGAGATCATTACCCCTTAGCAAAGGAATCTGGTGCCAGGGCACCACTGGGTACCTGGGAGAGGACCACACCGTCCCCCTCTGTTCTAGAGGCACATCAGTGCTCTGCCCACCACTCATTATTGGTGTAAAAGATTAAGAAATTATTCAGAAGGAAGTTGGACACTTCCAATAAGACATGCTGCTTGTGGAACTGAATGTAACTGTTTTAATTTCTTTTTTTTTTTTCTTTCTCTCTTCCCTCCTTGCCGTCCCCAAACTAGGCTAGAATTACTTCTTGGCCAAAGGAAACCCCAGGCTCCTGGTTCAGTGAATTCAAGCGCGGTAAACTGGTAAGATGCATCTTGGTGCTTTCTGTTTTCCTTAACCCCTGTCATATTTTACAGAGTAAAATGGCTCGTTGGCCCAAAGAACAGCCTTCCACATGGTATAGTCAATACAAGCGGGGGTCTTTGGTAAGTGGCTCACCTTGGCCCTCGAGCCTTAATCAGAGCTCCTCATCTGCTTTGGTATGGCCAGACCTGCTGCACTCTGCATGCTGGACTAATCACCACCACCAGCCACGGCAAAACATTTAAGGTGGAATACTGAGAAAGAAACAAAACCCCGTGGAGGCACTTTTTTTTTCCAGTCTGCTTGACTGGGAACCCGGGAACGGGTGATGAGCTTGGCCCTGTGTTGGAAGGGGGCACGGTGATGTGCTGGGGGACCCTGCAGAGATGGAGCTGTTGTAGGTTTGTCCTCACAGGGCACTGCAGGATGTCTGCATCCCACAAGGATGTCTGCATCCCACAACGAGGGCTGTTGCTGTCTTCTCATCAGTTCCCATTATGGCAAGGGCAAACTGGGTGTCCCCATGTCCCGCAGCAATGGGGCCTTGTCCCAAGAGCTGAGAGACCCCTAAAGTGATGCTCTAGCCCAGAGCTGTCACAGCCTGTGCTCACTGGTATCCAGGTTGAGGGTGTGGATCTGCACATATCTGGTCTGGGGCAGGTTTTCCCCAAAGGATGGATTTTGTCTCCCATACTGGAGATGAGCCACACCAGGGACTCCCACACCCCTCACGGAGCTTGGGAGACATGAAGTCACTATTTTAGAGGAAGATTTCAAGTCGCCTGCATTTGCCAAGTCTGATGGGCAGGGTTTTGACTGAGTCATAATTAAGGATTTTTTCAAGGGAGAAGAACTGCTGTAAGGTCAGACAATATTTGATGTCAGAAAGGCAGCAACACACAAAGCAGAGAAAGCTTCTGTAACAGGACATCCACTTTGTGGACAGATCACTCCCATAGAGACCAAGTGCTGGTCAGGGATGTCAGAGCAGCAGCTGATGAGGGTCAACCAGATCTCCTTAAGCAACAGAAATCTCCCCCTTGTGTATCAGTTCATGTAGGATTAGCGGAATGCAGATAATGAGCTCAGTCAAATGCAGAGAATTAGGGTAGATCATTTATCCAGCAGATAAAATCAACCTGCCCCCGAAGGCAGATGCTCTGCTGTGTCACATTGAGCTGCTCCATGAAGCTGTCCTCTCCCCAGGGAAGGGGGTTCTTGCAGTGCCCCCCAAACTTCCACCTTAAAAGGCAAACAACCCAGAAAATCACCACGTTGTTTCCCTGCACCGCATTTCATCGCCGCTAAACACGTTTTGCTCTGATTCTGCCCACAAGAAGGACGTGGCTTCTGTAGCTTTTCTGCATTATCAAGTAAGGCTTCAAAGCCAAGGCTTCAGCCTCGTGGCTCCTTGGAGGGCAACTACTCATAGCTTAATTACAGAGCACTTCATCAGTTAATATTACACAAGTACCTTCACTTCTCCACATTCCCTGCTTCTTTTTTTTCCAGTCTATCAGCTACATTAGAGGCTCAATTGTCAACCTAGAGCTTAGGGCTTATCTTTTTTTAAATAGGAATTTCTGGTGCTACTTGGAGCTCTTTGTTCCATCTTTTCGTATTGTCATTTTCTTGCTTTTTTTACCTTTCCTGCTTTTTCTATTTGGAAAAAAAAAAAGCCACCAGCACGTAGAAGACCTACCCAAGCAATCCACAAAACTGTTAAACATGCAAGCCATGAAAGCAAAATTCTATTTACCTCTTTATTTTGAAAGGTCCTCTCATTTCAGCCCAGTCTCTACTTGAAGCCATGAGACTGGTAAATTAAGGAGATATTTGCCTGGTGGACCCAATCTGTGTGTAGATGGAGGGAATGAATGAGTTTCTGGGTGCAACTCTGCTCCTGTTACTCCATGGAGAAGGTCCCTGGTGTCTTTCCATGCAGGCTGAGCAGGTTTTTTGGTGGCAGAGCCCATGGGAAACCCCAAATTGGAGGGGAAGATTTCCACCTGGATGTTTAGCACTGCTGACAGGGGGCTCCATGTGAATCCTGGAATTGCACAGGGTGTGCAGCTGGGAACACCCAAAGTAAGAAGGACGTAGTAACTGTGCAATACAAAAAAATCAACTTGTTTTGATGCTTCCACACCATCATTAATCGATGACACAGAGTACTTGGAGCCAATTTCTTACCTTTTCTCATGATGCAGCCAAGCTGCATTTAGAGGGATAAGAGGGTTGCAGATGTTTTCTTCTGCTTTCCTTCTGTGTGTGTTACACACAATTCCCAGTAGCTCTAACAAGGCCTGCCACCCATCCCATCCCATTATCCTTCACAGCCATATGGTATCTGCCACAGGGAAATACCAGCACAGGGAAAAGAGGAAATGACTGATTTTTGCAAAACTGTTCCCATGAGCAAACCTTATGCCCACAACCAGTTCCCAGTGGCTCCAATTGCAAAGCTGGGACAGGGCTTCACACAATCTGCTGAGGCTGAACAGCATTAGAGATTCCTCAATGAGCAGCCAGGCTCCAAACCAAGCTCTGAACTAAGACCAAATAAGAGCAGTAGGTCCTGCAGGTCAGTAGTGCCACATGGCACTGGGTGTGTGCCAAGTGTTTGGCATTTTGTGTCCCCTTCCTTCCACGTCCTGGTGGTTTTCTGGTAGCTCTCCTGGCATGCCTGGCTCTCTGCTGGTCAGTCATATTTAACTCTCAGGAGGACAGTGCAACAGCATCCTGACAACCGGTTGGTATATTTATTTATTTTTATTACCTTTTTGTTCATTGTTTTGTTACCTGGTTATGAATCTCTTCTACTGTTTGCAGCTCGCACCACAACTTGATGTCTCGTGGTACCTCGAAGGAAACCCCACTGGTTTTGTGCCTGTGTTTTTCTCCTGGTTGTTTCTAAAGAAACCCAACTGTCCCTCGAGGGCAGTGGCTTGGTCATGGCTGGAGATGCCACCTCAAGCACAGCCAGTCCATATGTGCAAACTCATTTTGTGTTTGCTTCTTTGGCGGGGCACAAATATCCCAGAAAGTCCTGAATCCTTTAAGTGCTGGAATTGGGTTTCAATAAATTCTATTTTGCAGAAATGTATTATAGGCACCATTCTCCTGCTTGGGAGAAAAGCAGCCTGATGGGAAGAACGGAGCAAATATCAGTGTGCAGGTGAAACCCTGTGTTCACAACATGCCCTAAGGGCAGCAAATCCATTTTCCCTTTACCTGAGTGCAGCCTTGCCAGCCATGGCAGCCCCCAGTCCTTATCAGCAGGAACAGGATTGCTGCAGATCAAGTGCAAAGATTGTTTGAAACTCCAGTGTTTGGTGCCCAGGAAAAATGAATGGGAAATACCACAGAGTGTGCAGAACAAAAGACCCACAGCAGCCAGGAAATCTTGTCAAACAGGACAGAAAAATAAAGCCCCAAACCCTTACAGGAATCTGCTTTCTCTCCTCCTCAAAAGCTGGAGAAATATGCTCAGTATTGGCCTAAACTTGAGACATATATCCCCAAATTTGCAGCCTTTTGGGTTGAATTCCCCTTCCTTTTGTCTCCTGCCTTGAATTAGCTTTATTTTTTTAGCTCGTGTGCAGCAAGAGTCTAAAATGCCCTTTGTTGGCCATGCCCTGGCCACAGGAGGACCAGAGCAGCCCTGTGGCAGGAGCAGTGCCTGCACCCCAGTGGGGTGGTGACACTGGTGGTCCTCAGAGCCCCCCAGACACGTGTCATCCCCCCTCACTGCCCAGCCTTTCCCCTTCTCCGCCCCTCACAGCTCTCCTACGTGGACTCGGACGGGAACCCCATCGGGGTGGTGCAGATGACCTTCCTGCGGCTCCTGAGCGCCTCGGCCCACCAGAACATCACCTACAACTGCTACCAGTCCGTGGCCTGGCACGATGCCACCACCAACAGCTACGACAAGGCCATCAGGTTCCTGGGCTCCAACGACGAGGAGATGTCCTACGACAACAACCCCTACATCCGAGCCGCCCTGGACGGCTGCGCGGTACGTGGGCAGGGCTGGAAGGGGACACCCTGAGGGTCTCTGTCCCCCTCCTCGGGTTGTCCAGCACCATCTGCCTCAGAGCAAACCCCCTCCAAATCTCCTGTGCCTGTTGGTGCAGTTGTCCTGAGGGCGGTCCCCGGCACGGGAGACGTCGAGCTCGCTCTTCCATGAGCTGGGAATATGTGATTCCACTCCAGGTCAGGAGAAGCTGTAGTACCTCTAGGAATCAAATTGATCTGATAATCAAATTAACCTGCCTAAAAACCTCCTTTTAGGCTGCTTTTAAATGTCCCCCCCTTGCCTTTGCTCTCCCCTGTTTCCTCACACGGGGTGAGGTGAGCGATGACACCCAGTTGTGGATGAGTTTTGCAGGTTTTGACAATGATCTTTTTAACTGCTCTCAGGAAATCTTGGAGGGGAAAGTATTAAGGTTTGGCATTGGGTTGGAGGAGGTTTTCCTGTGTGCAGCCCCAGTAAGGCTCTGGGCTGTGCTGGTCATGGGGGTGCCTCCAGCTCCAGCCAGGGGAGCCCAGCCCAGAGCTGGGCTTTGCTCCGTGTGTCCCCCAGCCCTTCACAGGAGCCACCAGTGCCCCTGGGAGAGGACAAACCAAAGCAAAGCCTGACTCTGTACAGATGAGATGATCTATGGGATGCAGGACACAGGTTCACACCCCTGCTCATGTTTCAAATGTGACTTCTAACATCTTTCTCTTTAGCTTTTTCCCCCCATGAGATTTTTTTGCCCAGAATGAAGCTCTCCCCTCCCCTTCCAGCCCACCCTGCTCCTCACCTTCCCTTCAGCCACCAGGAGCAGCCACAGTTTCCAGAGGGGCCCAGCATCCTCCCTTTGCTTCTGCCTCTTTCTATTGGATGCCTGATTTGGGTTTAAACTCTTAAAAATCTGCCATCAGGAGATAAAAATTTGGCAAAGCAGGTGCTGCCTGCCTTTATTTTGAGACCCAGCTTGCTGGTGCAAAAACATGCATAATTCCCACCCTCTGGAACTGCAGTGCTTGAAGCCCACGGGACAGAAAGATTGAGATGTTTGACAGAAAAAGCTCCCCACATAATTTGAGATTAAAATGGTTCTGTTCTGGCACAAACACGATTTTTGCTGTAGGAGCAATGAGGAAAATCAGATTAGAATCACTTCTTTTAACATGTTCGTGGAGAGGGAAAGGGCATCCAGTCTGCTTCTGGAAACACTCAGAAGTTTATCCTCAAGTACCTCATATCTCCTGCTGACACAACATGTCCTTGGTAAAAAGTGCCTCCCTTTCCCTTCTGAAGTCTCAGGATGTTGTAGGATCACACATTTCACTTGTTAGGGTGGATGTGCCAGCTGAAAACCCTTTGGGTTTAAATGTGCCATCATTCCTCTCCCTAATGAGGAATACTAGGCCGAGGGGGAATGGCTTTAAGATGAAGAAGGATAGATTTAGATCGGATATTAGGAAGGAATTGTTCCCTGTGAGGGTGGGGAGGCCCTGGGACAGGTTGCCCAGAGAAGCTGTGGCTGCCCCATCCCTGGAAGTGTCCAAGGCCAGGTTGGACGGGGCTTGGAGCAACCTGAGATAGTGGAAGGTGTCCCTGCCCATGGCAGGAGGTGGAACAAGCTGATCTTTAAAGTCCCTCCAACCAAAACCATTCCATGATTCTGTGATATTCAGAGGACTGTAGCTCCTTTGAATTTATTGCTTGGTTGCTTCTCGGAGGCAGCTGTTATACAGCCAGTCTCAGTGCTGCAAATAAATGATTGTGGCAAGAACTGAAGCTGTGGGAGCACCAAGAGGGGCTGGTCCAGCCCCAATGTGATGGTGGAGCACAGAGATATCATCTCCTGGCTCAAAACTTCGGGCATTGCTTCTAAATCAGCGCGTCCCAGTCCTTCCTCTGGGCAAGCAGGCTGTCAAATGGAGGTAAAATGTACCTTGCAGAAAGAGTCTCTGCATCACCTGGACTCCTGTAGCCTCCCTGGTAGAGTGTGCTGCCCAAACCACAGGCAGGATATTTAAGATTTATTTATTTAAGGGAGTTTATCGTTTACAACAGGTCCTCTACATTAAAGATGATTTTAATCCGAATCTTAGACCAGCTAAAAGGCTGTTAGAACCCTGCCAGAAATTTAGAGATACATTTAATCCAGTACTAGAACTGATTCAGGTTACAGACTTGGCCATGCTGGGTTAATGGTCAGACTCAGTGATCTTAAAGGTCTTTTCCAACCTAAATAATTCTGTGATTGAGCCCTGCTGTGTGGAAAATGAGGTTGATCTGCCCGACACGACGTTGCCGCAGAGGTCCTGGTAGGACCCACGCTCTGGCTGTGCTGCAATCAGTGGATCTCCAGGGCTTATGTTCAGACTGTTATTTGAATGTGTTTTTCCTGATCTTACAGCCCTTTCTCAGTAGCTGTGATACAGCCAATTCTGCCGAGACACACAAATCAGAGGGAAAGGTAGAGCCAAAAGCTGCTCCATAAATTCACTTGTTTGTGCAGCCTTGTATGCCCTCGGGTGCACTTCTGCTCCTCTAATAATTATTTATATTTTGGAAATAACTGTATGGCTACCAGGCACGATAAAAAGACAACATCACCTTGTGAATTCCATCAAACTTTAAATGTGATCTTTTCGGTAGCGCTCGGGTAATAGTCAAACTAATATATTCAAATTAAATCGCTCCCATTTGCTCAACAACCCATGCGTGTCCTCGGGGAGGTAAAACAACTATTGCACAGCCACAACAATTTTACCAGGCTCCTGTTCCAGCTTGGAGATGTGCTGACAGCAGAGTTGGTGTGTCGTGATCTGCATGGCAGCAAAGTCTGGGCTCAGGGTGAACATCTCCCAGGGCTTTGCTCAGTGGTCCCCATCCCACGTCTGGTAAATCTGCAGGGCAAATAAATCCGTGTTTTGTTGCTGGGTGACTAATTTGGATCAGAAAACGCCTGGGTAAGGTATCCCTGAGTGGTGAATGCTCAGTCATGATCATCAGAATGATGTTGGCTTGGAAGGCATCACCAGAGCTTGTCTCTCTCTCTCCCTCTTCTCCCCACCAGGCAAAGAAGGGCTATCAGAAAACCATCCTGGAAATCAACACGCCCAAAGTAGAGCAAGTACCTATAGTCGACATCATGTTCAATGACTTCGGAGAAGCGTCACAGAAATTTGGATTCGAGGTGGGACCAGCTTGCTTCATGGGCTAAGAGCCACCTGAAAACTAGTCTCCAAATGAGCAACCTCGTAACCTCATTGCGCCATTTAATTAAAAAAAAAAAATCTGAATAGAAAAAAAAAAAAGAAAAGAAGAATTCCTTGTCACATGCACATTGTGAGACTGGACAGCGATGGGTTATTTTTTTTGTTGTTTTCGTTTCATCCCTCATTTTTCCCGAGTTTTCCTCTGGGACACCTCTGACCCACAGTCACCACGGACGCAGAATTCCATGACCGACGGCCGCACATGTGGCCTGGAGACCTGTCCCTGCTGCTCCAGGGCCACCAAGCAGACCCCACCGCCATCAGAGACTTCTTCTCCTTCTTCTTCTTCTTCTTGTGAGCAACAGCAAGTGCTTGCCTGTAGATTGTTGTTTTGTCTGTTCGTTTCTAAGGAAAAAAAAATGGGAAAAAACTTGAAACTCCTGTGTTCAGCTTGATGTTGAAGTCCTGGCTCCAATCCAAATCCTGCCAAAGCTCATGAAAGGCATTTTGTTGTTATTCCACGAGATTTTGGATCAGCTCTAGCAAGGAGGTGTCGTGGCCAATCCCAGAAATTTTAGTTATCTCCATTGAGTTGCCTAATTCTACGTTCTCGCAAAATTTAGCTAAAGGTCACACTGGGCATCTCTCTCCCATGTATTAAAGGTGCTTATATTTTTATATGTTTGTAAGTAAATATTTGTATTGTATATTATTTTAAATGTTTGAATGTTTCTGGCTTCGAAACACGCACGTGACCTTGTGTGTATTAAACCCACCACCCTTTCCACCAGCAGCCCAGCCAAGCATCCACCTGGGAAGAAAAACTCTTGTCCCCACTGCCTCTGCCTCTTCCCAACCCTGAGCCAGGAGGGCCTTGGAGTTACACCCAGGATGACTCTTGGCAGGATGAGGTGCAAACCAGCCCCCCCAAGCCACGGTTGCCTTTTGGAAGGATTCACTTCAAAATTAGGAAATTAAAGCCACTTTTTAACAAATTTTCTACAAAACCCTGATCTAAAAGCAGGATCTGCTTCGAGTCTCTGCCTTTTTATGTGCTTGCTTAACATACATGTTTTAAATTAATTCTTCTTTTTTCCCTTCAGCATTCTTTTATAATAATAATTAAAACCAAATCCATCCCCAGTGGCAGGTTGCAGCGGCAGGGGAAGTCCATTTTTGTCCTCTCTGAATATCAAGTGTAAAAAAAAAAAAAAGGAAGAAAAAAAAAGGTGCTTTTTATTATTTTTACATGTCTCTGTGGTGCTATCTGTTTGATAACTTTAATACAACACTGGTGATACCCTGCCACTGGCCAATCTCCCACCAGCTCTGCTTTTCAGCCACTTTCAGACAGACTTATAAATGCATGTCACCTTTATATTTGTTAAGTAGAAGACCCTCTCCTCTCCTTTGTATCGCAGCAGCTTTTACGTCCGTGCAGAAAAGGTACTAAATGTGCTTTCTGTTATTTCTTACATCTTCTTTTTTCCTTTTTTTTCTTTTCTTTTTTTTTTCCCAAGACTATCCACACGTTTTTCCCGGTGGTAACCAGAGCAGATTGTACTCAGTGCTGAACGTTTGTGGTGCTAATTTATGTAGATGTCGGGTGTCCTGACGCGGTGCCGGAGCCGTGTGGGTGCTGCCGGGACTCTGCAATTCTCTTGCTGTTCCCACAGTGGCTTTTTTTTTCCACGGCTCACAACGTGCTGACACCATCTTCTTTTTCCATTTGTTTTTTTTTTCTCCGTGGCCGTTTTCCTCGTTTAGATCTCTCAGCTGGAAAAAAATAGATGTTGTGGGGCGGGGGTGTTTTTTTTTATTATTATTATTATTATTTGGCCTGGAGTGTTACAGCAACGCTTGAACCAAGGGGGATCTTTCACCATAAAGGAAAAGACATCACATTTACTGTGAAGAAAAGCCTATATATGATGTCTTTTCCCCCCTCCTTCCCAAGCAGAGAGCAGCAGCATCCGAGGAAGGGAGGCCAAGCCGTGCTGGAGGGAGCGGCGATGCCGCGTGGTGCTTTTTGGCCTGGGAGAGCCGTGTCCATCCATCTCCCTTCTTCTGGAGTGTTCTCTCGTGGGCTTTGTTTTTTTTTTTTCTTTTCAATTTAGGAGAATAAAAGAATAAAAAGGTGCTACCCTAAAAACTGCAGACTCCGGCAGCAAAGCAGTGAAAAGGAATATATAATAATATATAAGGAATTCAGCTTCTCAGTCACCTTGGCAACAGCCTTGTTCAGGAACAGCGGGAAGGTCAGGAAAGGTTGCACATTCCTCTCTGCAACAGCAAAGCCATATATTGATGTATGTCCACACGTGTGCGTCCGTCTAGGTCATGTGATTCTGTTATAAATTTTCATCAAGGGAGCTTTTTTCTTTTATTTTTTTTTCCTTTTATTTCTTTGCTTTAAGTAAAAAAAAAAAAAAAAATTCCTCTGTTGAATTCCACAGTGTTGTAATTGTACTGAGCTCCAAACTGTTCCGATTTCCCCCAGACCACTTAGCTACGGTATATTGCAATAAAATTACTACTTGTATTTGCAGACCTTCTTTTTGTGTAATTTTATTTCCCTCCTCCCTTAATATATATGACTTGAACAAATGTTGATAAGAAAAATAAAACCTATGGAAAAAAAATTTTTTAGTACATAAGGCCCTTTTTAAAATATAGTGTCAAATGACATATTGTACATTTCTTCAAAGTCCAATAAACATGTCATAAAATTTAAGTGTAATGCCCATAAGAGCTATTTTTAAATATTTTAAACCTGTGTAATAAAGGAATAAATGTAATAGATTTTTTTTCAATAAATCAAGTTTACTGTTTCCACCTAAACCAACGTGATGTGAATGTCTTCTTGAAGTTGATTGCAGCAGGATTTCTCTGCGACCCTGAGGAGCCCGAAGAGTTCATCAGAGGAGCTGTGCAAGTGCTTAAAGGTAATATATACTGTAAAATATAAACCAAACCGAGCAGGGAGAGAACTTCCAGGCTTGGAATTTTATTTTTTTTATTCCTTAGTGAGAATCTCCAGTGGACCCAACAGTGCAAAAAGCCAACCTGGGGATTTCGGTGCCTGGGATCTGGATGAGAAGATCGAGTGGCCACCTGCTCTCCACCTCCACACCAGCAGAAATGTCACCAGAGGACACTTTGCTCGGCACCACGGCCTTGGCTCTTCCTGATCTTCTCACCCTGAGACGAATTCAGGAACAAACATTTTTCCAGCTTCTCGGTGAGCTCCTCAACCCCCAAACTCATCCCCAGTGCGCTGTTGTGTGGAGGTGCTGGGGGAAGCAAACATGAGGGACGCTTTGCTTACCCTCTCCTCCTTACCTCCATGGGTTTCACTCCAGGGATGTGCAGGAAGGTGACGGATCCTCTGGGAAGCACTGCAGGAATTGCAGGTCCCTGCCCGCCAACACCAGCACCGGCCGCCGGATCCGCGTCACTCTGGTTCTCAGGGGCTTCTTGCAAAGAACATCTGGTTGGTGCTGCTGCTCTGCAGGTTCAAGAAGATGTTTGTACCTTCCAAATGTGATGTTTGCAACACTGCAGGTGCGTAAGGTCCAAAAACAGGGGCACGGGCATGAGCCAACTCTTGCACTGACCAAGCCAAGCTCTGTCTCCCCTCAGCCTCTCCCCTGCGTTCTTTGGCTGCAGCAGATCTTTGATGACCTTCACTCTGTGCTGAGAGGCAGATCTCAGATGGAGGCAGATGTTCAGATAACGAGCCAAAGTCACAGAATCACAGAATGGTTCGGGTTGGAAGGGTCCTTAAAGATCACCTCGTTCCAAGCCCCTGTCATGGGCAGGGACACCTTCCACTAGACCAGGTTGCTTCAAGCCCTGTCCAGCCTGGCCTTTAAAGTCCTTTAGTCTAAGTATATAACTTATAGGAGTAATTTTCCGAAATCTTGGGGTATTATGGCTAAATCTTCATCCAAAGGGACCCCAGAAAAGCAGGGGTACCACAGTTGAAGGAATAAATTAGGGGAAAGTAACTTTAATTACTTTAACCTGGCTAGAAACATTTAACTTACATCTTGATTTTGCTTCAAGGTGACACTAACCCATCCATGCTGACTTGCCAGTTGTGATTTGCACTCAATAACTGCTGGTTGCAGCAAATGCCTCAGAGCCTCGCTGCTGAGAGAAGCTTTGATCTGCTATTAGGAGAAAACAGAGATCTGAGGAAGGATCTGACTGTTTCTGGCAGTGCCAGACACAGAAGCCATGGCAGCTTTTTCACCTCTTTTCACATAACAAAGTCCGTGATTTAGTGCTGGAGCTACAAAGCTGTGACTCCACCAGGTGAGATACGGAGGGGAATTTTTAGAAGATCCACAAAAAGAGCAGCAGATAATTGAGACAGAGTGTGAGCACCCAAAACAGCTCAGTTTTCCTGTGAGGATGGAGTGGGGATGGGGTTGCTCATCCCAAACTCCCACAGCAGCTGCCCCTCCCACCTCGGGGATGCTGCACAGGGGCAGGACCAGGAGCCCAAACCTCAGGATGCAGCAAAGAGAGCAAGAGGACCAAGCCCAGCACCCAGGGCAGCCCTGGAGGGAGCAGAGCAACACCCACCCCTGGTACAGCTCAGGGAAGGGGAGTTATCCAAGGGCAGCTGATCCTGATGGTGTTTCCCACAGCCTTTAAAGCAGCTGAGCCAGCCTGGGCGGGGAAGGGGTGTCTGCAGGGCTGTGGGGCTGCTGGTCTGCTTTGCTCTGCATGTGGTATTTTTTTCTGACAGGCAGAGATTTAACTGGGCTGGGATTTATGGAATTCTGTGTGTTAAGGAAGCAGGTGAAGCCTGAAAAGTTTTCCCTGTCCAGTCACCTGAGCTGACCCAGGCGTGAGGACACGTGCCTGTGCTTCCTGGCTGCTGCCACAGGTAAAACAGGAGTTGCTGTGGGACTTGCTTTCTGCCTGTAAAATGGAATTGTTCTTTGGTTTATTTTTTAGCCCTGCTCTGGAGGAAGAGGCCAAGGCCCTCATGATGGCTGTGTGTCTGTTGACTCCCTGTCTTTTATCTTGGATTCCCTTGGCTCGCTTCACTTAACGGTGGGACTCGGTAACCTTAAAGGTCTGTCTCAACCTAAACAATTCTATGATTCAACTAGTGGAGCTCTGGCTGTCCCTAAAAAAAAAAAAGCACATTCCTACATGTTTTGGAAGAGCAGGAAGTGGGGCAGAGGAAAGAACCTTTGGAGAAAAGAGCAAAGCAGCTGTTTGGAAACACAGCTCCCTCAGGTTGCGCTTCAACCCTGGGGCTGCACCAGCAGTAACCAGCACATTCCTGTTTCTCCTGGGAGCTGGTGGGGAAGGGAACCGGGATCAGCAGCCCTGTACCACTTCCAGCCTAACCTGTGCCATGCAGGGACACCCTGTGATCACACCATTTGCTCCCCACAGGACACAGCAGCTCTGGTTGGGTTGTGTCCTGCAGTTGTTACCTCCCAAAGTGATGTTCCTTCCCAGCTCCTTAAATACCATGTTTAGAAGAGGCTGGTAAAAATAAAAATGGCCAAAGAAGAAGCGTTGGCAACGATTAAATTTAGAGACCAGATCCTGGGCATCCCTTCCCTGTGGTCTAGGTGAGTTTGGGGAGAATTAAAACTGTGAATGGGTGTTTTATACAAAGTATTGAGCATCCTCAGTGAGACTAAAGCTCTTCTGGAAAGACAGGAACAGCAAGACCAAGTGGGAGGCTTTAATGAGAAGGAGAGAGGATTGTGCATGAATTAGCATGAAGAAAATATGCAAATTGTTGGGTAGAGTGAGGCTTTCACAGCATATAAGAGAGCTGGAGCTATTCTTGTTGTTCAGCTGCTTTTTGTCCTGCATCTTCTCCCCAGCAAGTCTTGATTTGACTTGGGTTTATTTTTATTAATGTCTCAAACAAAGGATTAGAATTTATCTGACCCACAGCTCTCAGAAAAGAAAAAAAAACACAAAAAACCCTCTCCATGACTTCCTATGAGAAAGAGCAAGTGAGCTGGAGATGCCTCTGGCAGTTCATCACCACCTGTAAATTAAGCTACAGAGTCCCCACAGAAAGCTAATACAGTGCAAGTCAAACGTGTCTCTTCTCTTAACACCTTGCACAGGAGCTGTGCCTCTGCAAATTCACTTTCCTGCAGCCCAGACAGACAATTTCTATGTTTTTTATATTTTTTTAACACGGATGGTCTGACAGGACAGATCGTTGCTGCACCAGTGAGAAGCATCAGCCTGATCCTCGTGTCACTTGGTACTGAAACATTGGTGTCCCTCTGTCATGAGCAGGTGGGAAGCAATGGTTTATCATAATTATCCATAAATTATCACTGCATATTCTGGTTTTTCCTGGCTTTCTGTTTGCTTTCCATGTACTTCCCTTTTAAGGCAAAAGCAACCTTTGATGGCAACCTGGGCTGATGTTCTCAGCATCAGTCAGGGGCTGTTTAACCAGGGCTGCTCTCCTGCCATTACACAGTGGCCCAAAACGTTACATCCTTGGAAATAATTTACTCTTAACTCATCCCTCCCTCTGTGCTTCCAGCTGTGGGGAATCCAATCCCCTTTCACATCAAGGAGAGCTTCCTCCCAGCATCTTCTCCGGACCTGCTCTCGCCAAAATCTCAGCTCTGAAACCAGGTTTGCTTTTGAGGAGTGTTAATGTGCTGTAGTTTTATTTATGGCACCTATTGCCACTTCATTTATTCCTTGTAACTTCTCTGGTTGCAGATTTTTTTTTCCATCCTGGGGCATCACGGCAGCAAAGTGATTTTCTCCAGAGGCACAAACTCAATAGCTCAGACAGACCCTGCGTGTTCCTACCTTCCCAGCAAACAAAACTTAGCAATTTATGCTTGTATTTAATGGGTTTTCTCAAATAGCCCGGAGCAAAAATAAACACCCCAAAGAAATCAAACACACGAAAACCCCTGAAGAAGAAGCTGTTTTCTCTCCTTCAGAGAGGAGCCAACATGCTTGTTTTTTAAGAGATGCATAACGAAGGGAGCTCTGAAGCGCTAAAATTACATCTTGTAAGGCACAGGCTGTCACACTCAGAGGCACCCCTGGAACTGCTGCTCCACACAGCTGAACACGGAGAGCAAATGTGCCGTCGTCAGGCCCTGCGTTGGGACTTAATGTTCTCATTCTGCCTAATTATTAATATGTTAATTTGACAATGAGATGTTGTTCTTCGCAGAAAAATTTTCAGCTCTCTGCTTGGCTGCTTTTTTTTTTTTTTCTTTCTTTTCAGCTGCTCCTCAGCTCAGCAAATTTTTCTTTTTCTCTGTGTTTCTTGGCTCGGGGCAGAAGATCAGGGGATGCACCTGGGGGCTGCTTTTGCCCCATCCCTGGAAGTGTTCAAGGCCAGGCTGGATGGGCCTTGGAGCAACCTGGGATAGTGGAAGGTGTCCCTGCCCATGGCAGGGGGTTGGAACAAGATGGGCTTTTAGGTCCCTTCCAACCCAACCATTGGGTGATTCTATGATTCCCTAAGCACCCCAAGATGCCAAGGATATCCAGTTCAGGTGACCATTGTGCTGTCACTGACTGCCAACCTGACCTTGGAGACATTCCCTAGCGCGGCCAAACCATGATCCCAGACCTGGCTGAGGTGGATGCTGGGCTGAAGCACTGCCCTGCAGCCCCAGGGATGGGTCTGGCTGTGGTTGTGCCATTGCCTGGGGATCCAGAGGGAAAAGATGCCCTCACTGTGCCTTTTTAAGGGCAAAACTTCACCTGGGCAGCTGAGCAGGGACCATGAGCTGCTGGTGGAGTCCTTCAGCCAAGAGTGGTCTTGCCCACATTCACAAGCATGGTGAAGACTTTGGTCTTTT